TGTAACTAACATTCAATATCATTTGAATTCTTATGATAAAAGGAGGGCATCCATAGAGCTGTATAAAAAGGAAGTAATTAAAACCATAGCATACTACCTACCTAGGTTGTCATGGGAACCTAAACTGCATTTCCTGCCTGTTGTGGTTTCAAAAGCTCAGCCACAGCATGGCTTTAATATAGTATTTTGCACTGAATACTTTTACCAATAGAAAGATTATTTTGAAACCTGACATTTCTAGGTCTCCCAATACTAACCTAGTTTGCACAGCAACACTATAAATTATTCAGAAGAAACTGTACTAATACATTGCTCACAAGAAAGCCTGAACTTGCCTCAAGCAGGTGTAATGTATTATGGATATGTGGTAGCCTTCTCAGAGATAAGGTACAGGCAGCTACTGCTTTAGAGCCCTACTTCATTTCCTCTGTGACACTGTCTGAAAAAAAAAATCTGTCCTGGAAAATTCTAGATTGATACTGAAGGCAAGAAAGAACATATCTACAAATGTGAAAGAGAAAAATCAAATTACATGAATTACAATTTATTAAAGAAAATATATCAAGTGTATCTGGCTGTGAATAAAAGCAACATTATGGATGGCTGCTGCAGTGGACAGTATTGTTTCAATTTTGAACCTATAGTTTTTGATAGACTTCTGTAACTGACTTAACCAGGAATACATATGGACATTCCTTGCCACAGATACATGCCCATCTGTTGGCTGGATGCATCTTGGAAAGAAAACTATTTTTATAGTTGAATAGTAGCACAAAGTCAAGTAACTTGAGAGAAAGAGGTCTAGGTTTTCACTTCTAAAGTTCTTAGGTTCTACTCTGCACAGTCTGCTTTACTGAAGATCTTAATGAAAAACATGGGTTTTGTTATTCACGTTTTGATACTTCATAGAAAAGCCCCAAAGAAAACGGATATTGTCAATGTTGTAATTTCTTGAGTGAAAGCTCTCAAATATTAGAACATTTTATTTCAAAGTTTTTATGATACAAAAAGATGTATCTCGTTCTGTCAACATCTTACATTTAGGTAAACTTTACAAATAGCTTTTGTGTAAGGAAGCTTCTAATATCCAGAATAGTATTATCTTCAAAAATCTTTCAGGAAGGATAAGAGTAAGAAATTGCTTCATAGCCAAGATTAGTTGAGATACTTTTTGTTGTTGTTGTTGTTGAGCAAGGCCGCTAGAGAAAAAACTTCTGTAAAATACCATCATCTAAACCTAGCTGAACAAAAGTAGTTCTTGAACATGGGAGAACTCCAGAATCAAATAAACTGGCTGCTTACCTGCATTTTCTGCAAAGACATAAATAAAATTAGGCATAAAAACTTGAATAAGTTAGCAAAAAATATGATATAACAGATTTTAAGTTGACCACCAACATCTAGTTTGCACCAATCTACCTGAGCTTTGGCAGTGCACAGATCAAACACTAGGAAAAGGGTTCACGCTGCAGGCAGCAAGCTGTGTTTTATTTATTAGCCCAAAGCAGGCCCTTCCAGCTTGTTCAAATCTCAGTATGCTGGCTGAGATCTTATAACTTAATTAATTTAGTAAAATCAAGTATAAAATAGAGGTAATGCTTCTCTGTCTCCACAAAGTGGTTAGTGCTTTAAGAAAAGCAGATTATTCTATCCACTTATCTCTTCTGCCTCTCTGCCCATAGTTGAGTTTCTAAGGCACAAAGTTAAATTAATCATTAGGTATAGATTAGGTATAGCCTCCAGATCAATTAATTCTATATACATATTTTAGCTATTGGTAAAAAGACCAGCTAGGTCACAGCGAAATATCAGCTAGATTTTCACAGCTGTAATCAAATTCCCTGTTAAAGGACTAACCTTCAGAAAGTGGCTTGCCAATTGTCATGCAAATTTTTCCAAATACTTTACTGATTAATATAGGAGACAAGGTAGATATTCATGGGAAGACATATTTTCAGGTAGCCCAAAATAAAAATCACCATACATACATATTAAGCTATAGGTAAGCAGATTAGATTTTTGGAATCTATATTTTATAATTTTAAGCTATAACACATACATGAAATATGCATATATGTATAGTTAATGTACATTTGCATATTTATATATTAATATCTTAATTGTTTTGAGTGTACTGTATGTTAATGATATGCAGATATGTTTATAATAAATATATCAACTGAATTCTCACTTGAAAAGTGAGAAATACGTATATATTTATATGGACATCTGCCAAAATCTAGCAAGTAATTTGGTTTTGCTTTTGTTTTCTTTAATACCGTTTCTTAATATACATCTGATTTAAGTTCCTTGTATTATTATTAAAATCCAATATTGTTTTCATGAATAAAGCTGCTTTTGCCTGGTACAAAAGATTTATTTAAGACTCTGGTTTGGCTTCAATCCCAGAATATCCTGATTTCTAAACAAACGGCAAAGTGTATCATATGGGTATCATGATTAAGAAACAACAATCTTCACTGTGGATTCTGAGCCATATTAATCCCTGTTACAGCTCAATTTATTTCACTGGAGGTTACATTTCTTATTTTAATATACTTGCCATGCTCTGTCTCAGTGCAAAATTTGAAAATGGATATATGTAAAATGAAACATTGTCCTGATACAACTTTCATTATTCCGCATCTGGTCCTAGGTTCTGATTCAAAAAAATACATTGTAGCTGCATCCCAGTCTGAAAAATGTTTCAAGAAAGTTGAATAGTTTCCCAATACAGAAACATAAGTTAACTGGGTAAATGTATTTTTATTATTCTTAATCAGATAACACTTTTAAAAGCTCTTAAAAAAGCATGCAATCCTCTTTTATAATGCTGAACTTCTTATCATAAAGTATATTCTAAACATTCTCCTGGACCAGCTCCCATAGGTCTTGTCTAGTGCAAAAGATAAGAAAGGAACCTAGAGAAAAAGCCTGACTTTTTAAGGTCAGTAAAAGGTTTCCACAGAAGATTACATTTCCCCACTTTCTCTGCTTTTGCTATTAAATGCTGAACTACTTTGACCAAATTTTCCACCTTCAGAGAGCAGCTAAGCTTTGAACATTTTAGTGCAAAAAGAGTTTCAGAAAATTATGAATAAAACCAAACAGGAACTCTAATGTTGTTAAGTTGCCATCCTTCACTGTTTTCAATCAAAATTCATGACCTCATTTCTACATTTTCAAACCATTCTATAACTGAGATTGCAGCTGGTGTATCAGAGATTTCTTTACAATGACTTTGGAAGCCATTTTCTTCTTTAATCTTTCAGGGCCAAATATTGCTCACAGTTTTTAAGGTTTCTGTTTCTATTATAGATCACACTTCTTTCACCCTTCCTTCAAATTCTTTGTTTTTCTAAAAGGTTTGCCCCACAATCTATCTTGTTACAATAAACATTCCATATCAAAAATTTCTGTAGAAGTATAAACATGAGATCATTTCTAATCATGTTCTACTGGGGAGATCTGCTGAAGTCTCAAGTGCTACTTCTCAAATTCCCTGTTGCTTAGGTTGTTCACTAAAGCATCTCTTGACTAGCAGTGTGATTCTTTGTCAGGAATGTGTAAAAGTAGCTCTAAAGTTTTGCAGGTCTATTCGGGAGGGGGGAGGTGGGAAGGGGGGAAGCTATTTATTACCATTATTGTTGCTATAATTTTCTGAGCTCATCATCAGGAGTAGAAAGCAAGGGAAAAAAAGGCACGTGTTGGAAAAATCAGAAGAATACTTCTCAGCGTGCCATGGCATAGGTATTTGTCTCAGATCTGTTGGTGACTTGGAAAATATCACATTATTTAGATGCCTCAGTGAAATGTGTGGCTATTTTGTCAAAGAGATAGCAGGAATTACATGCAAAAGAACCCTGAAGTGTGGGCAGGTTATAGCGTATTTGGTTAAATATGTAGATTAAAGCAAACACAAAATAGCAGGTTGTGCCTGCTAGTGGAATGGAGGAAAAGCAGACAAGTGAGAAAACAGCAAAACAAGTTTAGTGTTGGGAGCTGTAAATCTCTCTCTTTTATTGCTAGTCATACAACAAATGTGGGGCTTAATATACTACTACAAGCATTGCCTACTATCAATGCACAATTTACTGAAGGGCCATGGCAAACATGAAAAACCTTGAAGAATGGCATGTTCCATTTTGTTTCCAGCTAAATATGAGAGCATACAAAGAGGGCTGAGTTCCAGGTGAAAATCAAGTTGAAGTCACATGTAAGTGCACATTGGCGTATGAAAATAGAGGTCTATTATACTGCTCATCCTCTGTTAAAGCTCCCTTGGGGTTTAACACCTTCACAGGGCAGAACTGATTTTCTCTCAGCCGTTCTATTGCAAACTCTTATCAACACTCAACTCCTGCCTTTTAAACCACAACCTTTATCCTAGCCCTAAGCTTAACTCTGGGCTGATCAGCAAATCTCTGAATTCTGCATTTTTCAGGGAACATTCATTTAAGGAATTCTTGACACCCCGAGATTTGTTCTAGCGCACCTACCATCTCTGGCGGCCAGACCCTAACTCGGTTACTCAGATATTACCGCTTTGACACACTTCCGCACTGCAGCTCGGTTAGAAACCACGAGGGAGTTTAAACGTCAAAGTACCTGCGGCGCCGTTCCTATCTCTTGGCTTTAGCCAGTACTGCTTGTCAGGGGAGCCCCGGCGGCTGCAGCCTCTTCCCTCTACTCGCGATGCCGGCGGTGGCGGCGGGCGGGGCTTGGCAACGCGGGGCGGTAACGGTCGCGCAACGGCCGCCCAACGTTCGCGCGGCGCCCGTTGGGTGCGGGCGCGCATGCGCGGGGCGGCGCCGGCAGCCGGCCCCGGCCGGGGCAGCGGCGGCTCCGCGGCCATTTCCTGCCGGCGCTTTTGCGGATCCGGGTCGCGGTGGCGCTAAGCTGGAGCGGCGCTTCTTCCAAGCTCGCGGCCCGTGCGGAGAGCGGAGCCGAGCGGAGAGTGGGGCCGCACCTCGCACCCCGGCCCTGCGAGCGGAGCGGAGCGGAGGTGGGAGGCTGCGCGGCGTCGCTGGCGCGCCCAGGCCTGGAGTGAGTGTTGCGGCGGCGCCTGGGCAGGGCAAGGGCTCCTACCCTGGGTGTGCGGCCGCGGAGGGGCCGGGACCGCCTCCCCGGAGCGCCTCTGCTGCTGTCGAGCTGCGCTGCAGGCCTTGACTTGGGGAAGTAGCTTCTCTTTCTGGTGTCTGCTCCTGTGAAGGCCCGAAGGCCCTTAATTTCGGAACTACACCCCGAGTTCCGGCGCGCGGTTCTACTCCCGATGAATGTCACCTGCCGAATCCTTAGGCCTGCTTCGTGTGGTGCTGGCGGTGCCCAAAATGTCCAGGGCTAGATGGGGCGCATAAACAGTTACCTTGTTTACCTAGGACTAGAAATGGAAAAGTCTAAGAAGCTTGTTTTGGTGAAACTAGGTTCCTTTAACAAGCCATGAAGTTATCAGTGCAGTCATTTTCTACGCCTTTCTTCTTTAATGCGAGTGAATTAGCGCTTCTGCATAGGTGTGGTGTGTTTTGCTCTGTGCGTTGTTAGAATTGCGTGTAAATTTCACTCAGACTACACCTGGATATCGAGTTACTTTCTTATTGTGCGGTGTTGTCTTCTGTCTATGGTAGAATCAGAGATGAACACCTCAGATGACTTAACCTAGGGACTGTGTTGATGCTGCATGGTGTTATAGCAGGAACTATAGCAGAGAATGCCCATGAATGTAGCTGTTAGTGTAGTTTGTACTTAAGAGCTCCCAATCACCAAAGTTTATTCCAGTTTTGCATGTGGTAATTGGCTTTTGCATGCCAGTGCATGTGAAATAAATTTCGCATCTTAGGTTGAGTTTTAGGCCAGGAATACTGATAAACTGCAAAATGTTACGATTATATATATAACTATATAATGTTACATTGTTGGACAGCTTGTAGAGGCAGATTTTTTTTCATTTAATTTTCTGTTAATGGATATTATATTCATCATATATATATCATATATATAATGTGTATAATGATGCAAAATCAAGCTGTCAGTTGTGTCAGAATCAATTTTAAAAATTAAGAGATAAAAATGTAGACTTGCTGTCAAAGGACTTACTGTCCATTCTGCAGGCACACACACAAAACTACATTATGAATGTGATGTTCTTAAAATATGAGTAGATTACTTTCAAATAACTTTAATCCTTTAGCTCTCTGTTTGCATATCATTATGAAAATGAACCAATTTTGCTTGCAGTTTGTGATCAGCTGCATCATTCTTGTGGTGTAGTCAAGTGTTTATGTATGTTGTGAGCATCTTGGGGTAGTTTTTGAAGTATAAAACATACTCCATTAAAATAGTTATTTTATTTGAAACAGTGAACAACTTTATTTTCTCTCCTACAGTAACTCTCCCACAGTAAAAGCTGCAGTTGAGAGATCTTTAAGCAAAGCTAATGTTTAAAGTAAATAAATCAAGTAGTAAGAGTGAAACTTGAACAAGACTTTTCTTTCAGCATAACCTGAAAAGTGATAAGCAGGTCCACAATCATTGCACAATTTGTAGAAATAGATTTTAGATTATAGCGTTCTTAACCCCAGAGTTTAAAAGATAACTAGTTGCTATTTTGTTGCCTGATATATTTTTCTCTTAAAATATTTTTGGCTAGGTAAAAGGATACATGTTTGCTTTCAGTAAAGAAGAGCATGTTCCCAAATTCCTCCAACTTGGGTCGTCCATCCTTCCCTCCAAAACATCAGCAACACAGTAGCTTCTTCAATAAGCTTCCTCTAAACATACCACCTGCTCTTCTCTCACACCAGCAAATTGTTGATGCTCAGTTTAACATTCAGAATGCAGCGTAAGTACAATAAGAGTTGATTGGGGGCAAGGGTTTGTAAAAGGCAGCTGTCTTCTCAAAGACATATTTCTGTTTATAGAAAATTGTCAGCATTTTAAAAATTATATTGCGTAAAACTTGAAATCTAAAGAAAATATCTTATATGTCTTTAAAAAACAACTAAAAAAACATTATTTCAGCTCTGTTGGTGAGCTGTAAGTTTTAATGCTCTTGTGTGGAATATATGAGATACTCTTTCACTAGTTAACTAATTTACTCACTAGGTAATAAATTGTAAAATTTGTAAGTTTCAACAAATTCAGTTGTGTATGTTCACTGGGGAATCCAGGAAGGAGATGAGAAGAAGAAACTCTTAACACATTGTGTGAAATTTGAAAAATAATAGTGCTTTTAGCCCCTTAGCTTTAATGCTGTCTTAAGCTAATTTGTTTGCAAAGCTTTAGCATATGTGCTTTGAGGAATGTCTGCCTTCTGTTTTGCAATGAAATGTGTGCTGTCTACTGAAACTTCCTTTTTTGGATAGAAAGGACAGGTGTATTGGTTCTAAGAAAAAAAAAAAAATGACAGGGCTTGCAAAGTTTGCTTTTCTTCAGTAAATAAAGCCAACCAAAAAAAAAAATTGGGGAGGTATTGTATGAATAATAATTATGGACTATAGTCTTTCTAGGGCTCTGTTGAGTGGGAACCTTGCAACTCTTCCAACTGTTACACCTCAGCCATTGACTTATGGAAATGGCAGTTCAGTACGTACATCTGTTGCGCCTACGTCATTTCGAGGAAGAAAGTAAGTTCTTTTGTGTGTGTGTGTAGTTAACTGTGTAATAATTAATGTATAACTAATTCTGGTCATAATGTGTGACACAGGTTATATAATGCATACTTTTGTGACTTGAATTTTGATGGAGCTTTTAAGAGTAGTTAATAAAGCCTTTCTGTCATAGTCCACATTTCATATGTTATGGCGCTTTGTAGCGTTCTTTTACTTGCTTTGAGAACTTTATTCCATATTACTGATTTAATGTGTAGCTTTTCTCTTACAACAGTTGTAGCAGAACAGACTTTGTTTTATTTGAGTGTTGCAATAGGTCCTAGTCCTGACTGGTAGAAGGCTTGTATCGCTGCATTGAATGTTTTCTTTTTGATTTTTACCAAGTTGAGAGCAAAAAAGTTTGTTCAGTGTTTGGGGAAATTGTGATATTTTTCTGATGATGGACTAGATATTTCTCCTGCAATTCTTAATTAAGTTCCTTTAGTTTAGGGAGCTTCCTTTGTACAACAAGAAGAGAAACTTTGGATTAATGTGACTTTTATTTCTTCCTGACATTTTAGAAGAATGACTTTCTTGCTTATCAGCTTAGAAATAATTGATTTTTTTTAAATGATTCTGTGAATTGGGTAATAGGAAGGAAACCTTAAGAAACCCCATCTTTGAAACTGTTGCCTGTACATTATTCTTATTCCTGAGAGACTGTGAATAGCTGTGTAGTGCTGAACTATAACCAATTACATAGCTATTTATCTTATTAACCAAAGAAAGTCCTGGTTTCACATGCAGTGTGTATATTTTTTCCTTGAGCAGGCTGACTTATGGAAAACTGCTGTGTTAAGGGACTTGCAGTCAACTAGTTCTTTAGATCTTTAATGAAATCTTCTTAAGGTATTTTCCCTAGAGAGCAGTTCATGTAAGTTCTTCTTGGTCAAAATAAGCTGAAGTAGTTTTGTATTTTGATTTAATATGACATGAGCATTAAATGCCTCTAATGCCTCTAAGATTGTAGTAGGTACTGTTATTAGTAACTTTCTTCGGACAGAAGTTGAAAACTTGAAAAACTGAAAGGATGACTTGAGTTCTTGTCGGTTAGATAATTAATAAATCTTCATCAGAGTTACCAAGGAATTCTGATGTCTGCCTTACTGACTACAAGGAATAACTGTAGTTTTATTGATGATTATTTTATTCATATAAAATATGAACATTTGAATTTCCTGTTTTTTTAAAATGGGTGACTGTCCCCATACGCCTTAGCTTTTATGCCAGTACATAATGTATAAACAAAACCTAAATGACCCTTTTAATATTCTTTAATGTGGCAGTGTATTCAACCACTTCACCTTTCAGTGAAACCCTTTCTCAATAAAGGGTTCAGATGCCAAGGGGCTATCCATAAGATCACCATCTCTTTTAAACTACATATGAATTTCTAGTGGCTAATGAATTGAGGTGGGGAATTTGTTTGAAAATGAGACATTGGGTTTTTTACCTGCATAGCTTAGTATTAGTTTGATTTGTCAAATGAATAGTGGTTCTTTTTTGCCCAGATTACACATTTTACTGTCTGTACAATCTAAGCCTACACAGACAAATGCTACATTTTGAATGGCTATTATGGTAAGTGGTGTTTTTTTTTTTTTTTTCCCCTCCCTTCTCCACTGCTGAGTTTCGTATTCATCACTGGGTATTCAGAACTCACAAAACTTCTCACTGCACTTCTGTTGATTTTAGTTGAAAAAAAAAAATGTACTACACAGTCTTTTTTTTTTTTTTAAGAATATATGGTCACAAATATAGTATGACCAGTATTTATCTTCCCTAGCTGTCCTACTTGATTGGACTTGCAATTTGGTTTCAAATAGTTAGTATAAATACTCTTGTTAAGCAGTTTGCATCAGTCCACTTCAAGGGTAGCTGTACTTCTGCAGTTGTATATTCTGTTGCATTTTCCAGTCCAGGTTTATTTCACCTAATATCTAGGATGGGGCATGCCTTTTGATTCTGTAAAATGCTTGGTTTTAGTGCAATAGTCACAGTAATTAATCATGAGTATTTGTACTTTGTAGCAAGTATGCTTTAATAAATTGGAGCTTTGCAAGCTTAGAGTTGTTTTTGTGCTTTGTTTTGTAGGAGACTAAGTGAACAAAGCGTTCCATACGACGTTAAACGGCAGCGGTTTCATTCACCTCATCGCGAAGCAACTGTAGTTAACCAAACAGTGCCTTTAGCAGAAGACCGTAGATACTCCTTCCCAGGATCCTCTCCATCTCAACCGTTCCCTGCACGTTATGTTCCCGATTTAACTGGGTGTGTCCCTCCGTTGCGAGACACTTCATTTTCAGACCCTGTGGAGACCACGCTCCCTGTGGCCAAAGATAAGGTAATACTTCTGTATGCTGAGCTTTACGTTGTCCTGGTGAGAAGGTGAGACTTGTGAGGCTGTGGAAAACAACAGAAACTTCCACGGGGTCATTAAGTCTCTGCTGCTGTGCCTTTCTTGTAAGAATAGCAGCGTATCGGAAGAAAAAAAGTTATGGTTCGTATGTGTATATGTAGAAGAGGATGTCCTCAAGTGGCCAATGGAATTGTTCCTTAACAAAAGGATTGCAGCAAATCATTCTTCATATTTCATCTTGCATTAACATGATAGGATTTTTGGTATAAATATTTGTCAGTTGATTATAGTGTGTAGAAGTATTGTCATTAAAGAGGAAACAATTAACACCTCTTTCCACCAAAGATCTGACTGCTACTTTGATTGTTTGAGTGAGGTTGAAATTTAAAAAAAAAATAAAATAAATAAAAGGGGGATGTGGAGAAAGGAAGAAAAACAACTAGCTCAAATCAGTTTTTAATCTTTATTTTTATGTCTATTGTAGCTAGTCAGACTAGTGACTTTAAAGTTGGCAGAAGCTATCTGTGGTCTTTAACTGCTTGTTCCCTGAAAAGCTGCAGATGCTAATGGGGCAAAGCTTATTTTATTTGGATAGACATATTTTCTAATATTGGACAAACTTAATAGAAACTGCAGAACTATCATGTGGGGAGATGTTCAATATGAACTTAAGCAGGATAAACTTTTAAACAAATAGATTATGGGAAACAATGTTGCTCTTTATTTGTTTTTAATGGAATGCTTTCTGTTTTTTTTTTTTAATTTTCATATAATTGCTTTTCACTTAAGAGAAAATATTTTAGTGCTCTTTACTTTTTGAATGTGTGTGTGAAGTTAAGTCAGCAGGTTTTGGAGTTGTTTCAAGCGTGTCAGCAACAGACCTGTGACTTGAACAGAAAAGAACTCTGCAGAACAGAACTCCAGAGGGAAATTCAGCGAATTTTTCCACGTATGTTTTGAATTTGACCATTTGTTATCAGTTTGAATGTTCTTGACATTCCCTGTTTTCCCTTCTTTCCAAAAGAGCACGTCCCATCAATTTTACTTCTGTGGTTCTCTTGTTGACAGAGAGCAGACTCTTTTTGGTTGGATCCTCACTGAATGGCTTTGGCACTCGTAGCAGTGATGGTGATCTGTGCCTCGTAGTTAAAGAAGAACCAGTAAGTAACTTGAATGTATTTAAAGTCTGTTTGCATGGTGCACTCTCTGGAATCTGAGCACTTTATATTTGGTAACTATTTAATTCTATGATTCTATGATTTGAAGAAGGTATGTAGTTTCATCAGGCTTGATTCTAAAATAAGAAACAAATGTCAAATCCTTGGATTTAATAATATATATTTTGCACTAATAGTGGCTATGAACTGTGGCTCCTGTGCTATTGCAAATATAAATTTGACTTTTAAACCTTTTAACACAGCAAAATCTTTGAAAATTATGCTTTACCTTAATTACAGAAATGGCAGAGTAACAGAATTGCTGGATAAAGAGAATCTAATTGTTAGATGAAGGAACAACTTTTTTTTTAATTAAAAAAAAAAAAACTTGTTTAGATTTTTGGCTACCATGTTGAAAAAGCAAAACCAGACATGTCCATAGTATATGTTAAATAATTTTTCTCCTGAAAACTGTTACCTTGGTGAAACTGTAATAGGAGAAGGCAAGGGCAACCTTTCCGCTGAGGAAGTGGGACTTGATCCTTCAGAGTTCTGAGATCTCCAAATGTCTGCTAGGTACTTTAGATCTGAATTATTTCATTTTTAACACTAAGGATGTTGACTGTAACACGAAATATGTCAACTGAGGAATGTGTTGGTATGTATGTTTGCTGCTTATTATGGGTTTTAATAGGCTTTCCTTTCCTTTTTTCTTTTTTTTTTTGAAAAATAAAGCATACTGGTTATGTAAGGATAAAATAAATGGGATATAATACTTTTTTCTTTAATATCATGTTTCAGGTGAATCAGAAGACAGAAGCAAGACATATACTCAGCTTAGTCCAAAAACTCTTCAGTACTAAACTTTGTAAGTTCCAGCCTACAATGAGGTGGTGAGATTACTGGCAGCTCTGCAAGGAGTGTTGACCTACAGTTATAACTACCTGTGTACTTGTGTGTTGTTTAGTTTCTAATCTTGCCTATCTTTTCTCCCCACTCCAGAAAAGTTGGTCATAGTAACACTTCTTATTTTGTATAATGGAACTGCTGGATAGCTAAAACAACCTAAGGGATACCCTGCAAACTAGTGGATTTAAAGAATGGGTAGCATCTAAAATAATTTTTTTCCTAATTGTGGTACATGATTCAAAAGTGGATTTCTGCTTGCAAACCTCTGCTAGTCAACTGTTATTTCTTTTAGAGTGCAGTATTTTACTTAAGATGATACTCTAAAAAGTTGTACAGTGGGATGTCACTCAAAATAAACTGTAGAGAGATTTCTTATGAACCTTGGTACTGGTGAAATAGTTAACTAGTAGCTACTGAAAGAGATGCACAGAGGAGAAACAGGTCTGAACTATGGTTCTTGTAAGTTGTTCAGACTGCCTTTAGATGAAGAATTCACAGATAGTTCTTGTGAAAACTTCCTACTTCAAAGAGATTTTTTTACCATCCTTTGAATTATTAATAGACAGCAGGTTATTTTATATCAATGATTTTGTCCACTTAGTTCTCAGACTTGTGATATGTTCTTTGATGCAGCTTCTTTTGTTGCTGCTCTGAATCCTCTTGCAATGCTAAGAAGAACAAATCATAAATTTCAGTGCAGGTTTCAAAACATCTTCACTGGGAGGTGTTTGTACCCAGATTTCAGCAACTCACTTGAAAAGAGCCTGATGTATCCATTTGAGTATGGGCATCTGATATTTAATAGCTTACTGCTGTTGTATATTGTTATTTGCATAAGCAACCTAGAGCTTAGTGTAGCATGCCTAGCATACAAGTCATTCCAGTGTTTTCTGGGAAGCACAGTGATAAAGTAGTAGTGTTCTCAGAGACCTGAAAGGGATCATCTAAATCAATGACAACCATCTTCTATCTTCAAAAGGCTGTGTTCTGCAAGACTCTTTAGCCAAAATCAAGTTTGTGCTGAGGAACAGAAAGGCGTTGCTGTCATGGGAGTGATTCCTGGTGGGGTTTGTTGTGTCATGGTCCATATCTGATGCAGGACAAGAGGGAGCTAGGAAAGCAAGTACTTTTCCTGAGTTTCAAGCTGTGGCTTGACTATGCTGAAGTTTAATAATCCTGACACAAATAAGTACGCTGATTACTTTAATCAGAGCTTATTTAGACAAATAAAATTACTGTCATTCAAATGTTCAGAATAATTTTTCATCTGAAGATAGACTTTGAAAGCTCCCTGAAAGACAGCTGGGAGTCTGGACAGACTTCATGTCGCCCTTTTGAGACATTAAGTACAAATGGAAGCAAGGGCTGACAATCATCTGTTTGTTGTTTATAAACTTGAATCGGAATTCCCAGTGCAGTGGTCATGAGGGCCATGCTTGTAGACTTTAAAGACAGATCAGGAATATGTGTATCTGCTGTTGTGTATAAAAGCAAGTGCGAGGTTGGTCTGTTCAAAACTTCCTGAAGAATTACAGTAAAGAATTGCAAGTGATGGTAACCTGTAAGCTTAGTCATACTATTTTTCAGCTTCTTATTTTGGGAGAGGGAGACTGCAGCTGTATTCAGACTCTCAACAAGTGTGTGAGCTGTCATTATCCTTTGCTTCACACAAGAGAATAGAAATAAATGTATTTTAGGCCGAGCATGAAAGTGAGGCAAATATGTGTCAGGGTGTGTGAAATACAAGAAGGAGGGAGAGAGAGAAGCTGTTTGATACTATTTAAAGCCATATTTTATAAAAGAGATGAAGGAGTAAACGGAAATAACTTTTGTTAAAGAGGGTACCTGGTCCAAGCCTTTTTAGCCTTTTCTAGTTGTAGGATGAGAGAAATTTGCAGTTTATAAACTTGGGAGAATTTTTTTCTAGATATACTTCCTAAAAGCTTTGCCTTTTTTCCTTCCTCTGTGGTAGGACAAGACTAGACTATGCATGCAGGTTGTTGACAATTTTTGATGTGTGCCATGTTTTGGATTCATATTTTATACAGTTACACTCATTCACGCATATTTGCAGAATTAATCTCTTCTTTTGCTGAAGGAGTTTTACATAAGTGTTCAGTTTTCTTTGAAGTGACTATGCTCTTTTTCACTGCAACTAGCCTCATTTCAGAATGTTCTGAGATGCTGGAGGGAGAGTGTTTAGATGCCTCTGTGGGTACAGCTAGAGAGAGGAGTCACTGTACTGAGTTGTACTAGATTGCACAGTCAGTGAATGTGGATTAAAATTCTTCTCAAATGCCTGTTATAATATTCTTCATTTAAAACCATTAGCAATGTTACTTAAGTTAGTGACATTATCCCTTTTTTTTTGATTGCCAGATTTGCTGCATGTCACTCTAGGATCATACAGTGAAATCAGATTCAGATAAAGGGTTACAAAAGAGCAAATCCATCCAAATGTGCATCTCTGTAAAACACTTCCAGAAAGCCTTAAAGGAAAAAAAAGTTCCTAATGACATATTTGAAGTGTAATATTCAATTATCGCTCAAAAGCAATGTAACTGACACTATTTAATGAAGATTGATACTGAACCTGACAGAAATAAAGGCCTCCTTTTCTTCTCAAAAGGAAAGGCTAGTGCTTATTATTATTTTGTAATCTACACTGCTCTTACCTTGGTCATGCTTACTCAGTTTAATTTCCTCAAACAAGGAAAAAATGGATAATATTAAATATGGTGAAATTCAAGTGGCCCTGTGTTTTTTGACGTAAGTTACTCAAACTGTGATGTTGACTGGATTCATACTGTGAAACTATGGGCTCTGCTTTTCTCTTATTTCATCATCATCTTAGGTACTTTTTTGTTAAGGATTGTGGTCAAATGCCATTTAATTTGTGAAGAATTAGGAAATCACAGATAATATGGCTATTGCAGGAGTTTTGGGGAGCTCAGTGCAAAGATGCATTTGGGGGCAGTGCCTGAATCTGGCAGCGCTTTAACTTCTGGTTTGAGTGGGCTGACACCAAGTAGCGTGTCTGTGCTGTGAGGATGGTCAACTGAGATGCAGTTCTAGGATTCTATGTCTCTGGCATGTCTTATCCCCATTAAAGCAAAAGGCTTTAAGGGAGTTTATCCCATCTTTAATTGAAAGGGATGCCATAGCTGCAAGTCTGATGCCTTGTTTCCTGTGTTAATACAATAAGAAATGTCTTTCTTGTTGCTTTTTTTTGGTAAGTTGTCAAAGGAAGAGTTTGTAAAGCAAACTTAAAGCCTAATCAGTGTGTAATGAGAATACATTAAGGGGTCTGTGTTTTTTATCAGTAGAATACATAATTTAAACTGTAAGCACAAGACATGAATAAAAAAGCAAGCAGATGATCATGTGTCCTCTCCACAGCACAGTGCCAGACTTGAGTGTCTGACCATCTAGGATGGGTCTGTTCTTCCCTGCTTTTTCAACTGTGATGATAATTTTTCAGGATTTGCATTACAACAACTGCAATGTAAGGGCAGTGTAACTGGGCTCCTTATGTTTCAAATTGCTGAATATTCTTAAAATCTTCCACTAATGCTTTTCTCTGACATTTTATGCTTTTTATTATTATTGTTATTGTTCTTACACAGTTGAATAGATTGTATTTTTGTTGCCCATTGCCCTTTTTTTTTTTTTTTTTTTTTTTTTNTTTTTTTTTTTTTTTTTTTTTTTTTTTTGTGTGTGAATATCAACATTTTGCATGGGTCTTGATTGGGTGTTTTCTCCCTTTCAGCAAGCTACATTGAGCGACCTCAGCTGATTCGAGCAAAAGTGCCAATAGTGAAGTTCAGGGATAAAGTCAGGCAAGTAGTCTGATCAACATCAATTCTTAGCCTTCCTTACAGGAAAACAGTTATATACTGTGCGTGTGAGTACTTCCATTGAAGTCATGGTTCCTCATTCACTTGTACTGTAAAGAGATTGCAGATTTGTGTAGCTAATATGCAGTGGTAATGAGTTTGCCTCCCTGGCAGCTTGCAACAATTTTTGTGTTTAGGAATTTCTATGATATGAATTAATAGCATTATTTGGTGTATTTTTGATCAATTTTGGTGTAGCCGACTCCAGTTAACTGATGCTTAATTGCACGAGATAAATTGGGGAAAAAAACTGCTGTGAAACATGTTTTATCTTTCTGTACAAATATCTTGAATATTGAACTACTTGAGAAGTAATTCATAGCTTTTGTATAAACACTATAAAACAAACCATATTTCTTGTAATGACATTTTTCTCTTGCTTAAATGTGCAAACTGTTTGTCTTAGGCTATATTCTTTAGGGAGATATTCAGGTTTTTAATGGTGTGTAGTATAACATGCACTTCACAGCACTAGGCGTTTTGGTACCTAGTTTTTGGTGGCATTTTATTTTTTTTCAGTAGGTAAGTAAGTGGAAAGAAGTGCATGTGTTGCATGTAATTGTACTCATACAAAGTACTCATACTCAATGTACTCGTACGAAGAGATGAAGGCAATTGAGGGGTGCACTAGAATAGAGAGCCATGTAATTGTAATCTTGGTCTTAGGAGAATCACCATGAGTGTGTGTGTTTTAATAACTGAGTAATGTTCAAACCTTTCGATATTTATAGGACTAAATTGCGTAAGAATTATTTATATCACTTTAACAGTAAAGCGTCCGTATTCTTAGTGAATGGGACTTTGAACAACTTTTGCTTCTAATTGCCTAATCCTTCCCATGTACATCTAACATTCTGTAACTCTATCTCTAGCTTTTTTAAAAAAAAACCAAGAAAAAACTCATTTTTAAAGCACAAACTCTGTTGTGATAACACTGAATCTTTTATAATAGGAACTAATAAACACCTCCCGGGTTAACTGCCTTTTTTTAGGGTCTTGCTATATAGTCTTTCATTTACCTGCAATCTAATATGTTTTTGTTTTTGGTTTTTTTTTTTTTTTTTTGCTTCCTTTTTGATCTTGGAGGCTTCTTAATGTTCTAACCTTAAAGAAAGATCACTGACACATAAAGGTTTATTATCCCAATTTTTTTTTTTGGATTTTTTTCGTAGGAAATAACTCTTAATGCCAGCTCTGCAAACACTGAGGCCTTTGGTTAAAAGCAATTCCATGGTGTAGAGGATGCAAAAGCATTCTGTTCTGCTGCATTTGATGTGCAGTGATGCCCTCTCTGTCCATTAGTAGAGCTCGAGTCAAAACATCACAAATCCCGTTTCAGTTGCCAAAACTGCAACATTTATCAAGTGTGCAAATTAAAGTACAAGAGAACTGTGATAAAACTTGTTTAATCAACATCTGCTAAAATGTTATCTTGGCAAATGGAGTTAACTGGAGTTGCATATGCTGCCTGATAATTTTCTTTACAGTATTTGCACCTATAACTAATGTTCTTACTGATGTTTGTACATATTTTAAAAACTGTCAAGTCGTAGCTCAAGCTTGTTTTCCCCTGTTGTTGTTGTTTACTACCTTCTCAAAACATCAAGAAGTCATGCTTAATTCATGCTTTAAACTGTGTAATATTTTTGGTACAAAGAATGTTTTAGCATAGCTAATTCAAAAACCTTTTCTGTATATTTATAATAGCTGCACCTTGCAAATCTCTGTTTTGGGAGGCTCCCAGACAAAATCTGTTGTTTTGTCCACAAGAGGCCATTCTTTTTGCAAGTTAAAATGTTATAACTTATTGATCATAAATTTGAATATTGTATCTGAGCACTGTGCTAAGCTGGATGTGCAATATGATATTATTTAGAGTGGTAAATTAAAGTGAGTAATATTTGTTAACTGTGTTCTTAGTTGTTATTAACAATGGCTCAAATTATAAGCTCTGAAACAGTTAAGATGATTTTTACAAAACATGCACTATTTACTAATATATTTATTGTCCTTGTGCTTGTTGCTTATCTCTAACTATCATTGCAGAATTGAATTGGGGATACTGTTATTAAACTGGAGGATCTCATAGATAAGGGTAGTTAAATTAGAAAGATGTAAGGAGATTCTTACATTCTGAGCTGTTATAATTAGTTGTCTTTCTCAGTTTATTGGTGTGATGTGCTGAACTAAAACCTCAGAATCCTGCCTCATATCAAAAGATATTTTACAAAACACACTATCCGTAGTAAATCATGTATTTGAAAACTAGATGGAAAAAGGATTTGTTAAAAATACAGAAACTTAAGTTGTCCTAAGGTCTAAGTCACTTCAATCTGAATCCTCTATATCAACTGACAACCACATTTTGTTAACAATGGAATTCAAGTCCATAATTTTACTGTATACAGATCCAAAATGATCTGTATACAGATCCATAACCTTAAAACTCTTCTTGTTTGAGGAAGAGAAACCCTAGAATATTACCTTAAAGTTGCACTTTATTTCTCTTGCTAATAGGTAATAAATATTTTCAAGCTCACTGTGATGTTACTTGATTCTTTTTCTCTTTCTCTATAGCTGTGTGGAGTTTGACTTGAATGTAAATAATGTTGTAGGAATAAGAAATACATTCCTTCTGAGAACCTATGCATACAGTAAGTTTTTAATATATTTTCTATTTCTTTGATTTTTTTTGCCAGCTTGTATTTTAGTCTTAATAGACAAACATTCAGTTGAACATATAATGTTAAGTTACTGTGTATAGTACCTAATTAGCTCCATTAGGTAGCTCTAAGATAATTTCTTTTTGCTCTAAGTGTATGGAGAAAAACATTAGCTATGTTTTTAAATGAATATTATAATACTCAGAAGATAACAAAATATCTTCATGTTAAGGTCCACATTTATTACAATGACTGCTTCAGTCTTCTGCAGATAATGAGATGGGGGAAGAAGAGCAGAACCAAATACATTATTGCATTATAATGTATTTGTATATTGCATTACCAATGATTATCATGTGATACCATTTAGGTTTTGTTTGCTTGTTTTATTTTTTCTTCCCCTTTCCTCCTGCAGCTACTGATAGCTATGTGTGCCTGCTAGCTAGGTGAGGTTGTCTTATAATACAGTCTTTCATTGGAAAATCTGAAATAACAAATTTAGTTTTCAGACTAACCCTAAAACAAAGCTGGCTTGTGTCCCTTCATTTCAGTGGGATATCATGGAACAGACTTCTAAAGTAATAAAACCCACACTCTTAGTGCTAAGCTAAGTTGTGGAGTTTTTGTTTGTTTTCTTGCTTAAGTAAGTGCATAAGGAGCAGACCTTGAGCTAGTGTCTTTTGGCCACCTGCATTTTTTTCTGCTTGCCGCCACCTTCAATTCTTGCATACATGAACTCCTCCCAGTTTAGGATAGGATGTTATCAGTACAAGTTCTGCTTACTAGCTACTTTTGACTAGTAATTAGAACTATAGTTTTATAATATCCTATATTCGTGGGCACCTTGTCCTGTAAAAGTTGTTAACTCTAATTTTCTCGTATACCCAGGAAGGCATCAACCTAGAAAGGGATTTCCTTCTAAGCGCAAAAAGTTTAGGAAAATGATCTTTATCATTCACAACTACAGGTATGGGGTCACTTCACTAAGTCTAATGTTAACGTTGTTCCCAGCTTCTGCCCCTGGTTTTCCTGTCTTGATGCTTATTTCTCTCGGCAAATTGCTGTTCACAGACAGAAATACAGATGTGAAACAGGCAGTAGGGGGTCCATGTGGTCCAGCTTATTTATTTTTAAAATTTTATTTATTTATTTTCCTGTCCTGATGTCCACCTTTATAGGGCTTGCAGGCTTCTTAGTATGTTCAGTGTAAATCAGTGTCTCCTGATGATAGTGATAAATGCCACTGTTTTCTTCAAGCCAAGGAGTTACTAAGGGAGAGACTTTTGTTTAAAAAGATAATCTCCCCAATGTGCAAGACCTTCATAAATAGGTCATCTTTATCAAGCATAGTCTGTCATCTCTTCCTTTATATAAGAAGACTCAGATGACTTCAGGCAAACAAAAACAAATGAAAACTATTGTCAGACATCTAGTCTCTCTGCATTTTTTAAAAAGTCATCAACCAGGACAGATGGTATTGAAAATGTTAGCCTGCTAACTTAAAATTTGCATGGCAGACAGGCTTCACCCTACATGTGAGGAGGGGAAACCCTCTTGTATAAGGTATACTGATATATTTATATCATGTAATTAGATGCTCGAGCAGATAAGGAACTGATTAGCTTTGTGAGCATGATAAAAATGTTTATAAATATGGGGTATGTGGATACTCTTCTGTCTCTCCCAAACCAGCCCTTCTATATTGGTGCATCAGGTGCTGTAGAGGAGATCAAAGTTTATATGCCTAGGTGGAGCAGAAGGTCCACAGAAGGAGAAAATGTAGGTAGATTAACTAGAGCTACTAACTGGGATCTATTGCTTTTGTGTTATCTGTTGGTCACCTAAGGAGGCATGTCTGGAATTCAGTCAGCAATTCATAGGTGGAGTTTTTCAGTTACAGCGGAAGCTGAAATTCTGTAGCTTTGAACAAATGGTATTATGATGCATTTTTGTGAGGGATTAGTTTATTAACTGTTGGAAGAATGTCAGAAAAACTTTAGTGGCAGTTTTACCCACTAATTTCATTATATATTAATGATGAATAACGAGCAGACACAACTTGATCTCGAAATGAATTTAATTAAAACAAAGTCCTTTCCAAAAGTATTGTGAAATACGTTTGCACTTCACACTCGGAGCAAAATCCGTTTTATAATTTGGGCCTTTTTGTCTCATGAAAGCATCATGTTTCTGTTATTGAGAATGTTATTGTTATTTTCTGTATACTATTATGTTTTATTTAGTATCAATTTTTAATTTAACCATTAGTGAATGATAGAGAGAATCAGGTGACTGGTCACAGAGAATTTTGTTTTTAAGAGGTCTTCTGGATCTACCTTGGCATGTGCAAGAAGAGCATGCTGTTCAGGGACGTGTCTACTGAACGTGTAAACAGGTTGTAGGAGGCAGCTGCTTTGATAGGATTTCCAGAATAGCAGCATTAGGGAGACACTGCTATGGAAAGCATCTCTTGTCCTGGATGAAGGAGTTGCCGTCTGACAGGCTCCTCGCTTGATAGGCAGCATACAAAACTTTGCATAAAAATGTCAGGCTTAAAAAAGGTACTCCAAGTCACAGATTATCTAGTCCCTAGTAAGGCAGCTCACTGGGCTGACAATCAACTTCCACATACCTGCAAGTAATCAGTGAGGTGTCCTGTGAGCTCCCAAGGAGGTGAGGGTTAGGGACATCTCCCTAAAATGTGTTATGACTTTGTGCAGAAGGCTTTACAATTCTTCTGTGACTCCAAAGATCAAAACCAGAATGTGACTATATTGTCATCTTTCGTGATTAAGTGGATAATTTGATTTAATGTGATATTTTATCTATCAGAACTATCTGTTAGATAAATTTCATCAGTTTCATCAGAAGCTACTGAGGACCAGGCAATCTTAGAGTTAATGTTTGGACGCGGTGTTTACTGCTTTCTTTTTTCCCTCAGGGAAAATTAAGGATGAGCTCTGTGTTCTTCAATTGGAAGAATTCTTTTCTTTGTCCTCAAAGCTTATATAATAAAAAATTTACATTTGGTCTGTCCTGAAAGCAATTTAATTCAGAAAATTAGTACAGGGAGCTGTTCCGTTGCCTGAACATCCTGTTTTGTCTCATCTGAGAGCTATCTGGCATGGCCGTTTTGTAATGCATCTGTGGATCTTCCTACTCAAAAGATATAAAAATAAACCTAAATTGAAAAGTATTTTTTATTTAATGGATGATGATTGTAGGATAATTAAGTCAAGTCTATAAATGGTCTATGAAGAGGTAAAGTCTATAAAGAGGTAACGTTAATGTGTCATTGATCAAGTGGGAATAAAAATTTGAGCACTGTCTAGTTATTGTGCTTTTTTTATAAGTATTTGTTGTATTTACAGTTGAGAATCGAGTTCGTCCACTAGTACTGGTTGTGAAGAAATGGGCAAGTTTTCATGACATAAATGATGCCAGTCGTGGTACTCTAAGCAGCTATAGTCTTGTGCTGATGGTTTTGCACTATTTACAGAGTAAGTATATTTGTCTTTTGAAACTGTTCTTTTTAAGTTTGCATTTGTGTAGCCTTTAAAATTAAACATGAGCAAGGATCATTTTCCGGACAGAAAAATCAGAAAACAAAGTGGTGACTTTATTCCTTCCCTTAGTACTGCATTTTATTTAACAAATGGACCTTTTCTCTGGAGTCAGAGTTACAAATTTGAAAGGAAAAAAGAAAATCAATGTACTGCAGGACGTGGTGTAACTATAAAATAAACTCAAGCTCTCATTTTGTTTTTAAAAAAATGTCCTCTATTAGATATCCACTCTATAGTGGGTAGCAAATTATTTAGTAGTTCCAAGGGAAAAAGCTAAACATGACATTTTCAAGTTTCTTTTATTTGGGAACTTTTGAGAAAATTGAAGACATGAAAAATACTGGGTGGTGGTAGTTCTGTGTTTTGGTCATCAAAGATGAATAATGGGGCTTTTATATGTGCAAGACTGCATGTGCAGGTAGGAAATTTTTCTGATTACTGTCTGCTGTGAGGTGACTGTCTCACAAGAAGTTGGGATATTTGGCTGCCACCAGCAGAATCTTATGTTGTGACTTTAATACATGGAAACACTGAGTTTTTATTAGGAGCTGGGAAGCCTTCCCTGCAGAATGAAGGAAGCTGTGCAGTCCAGAGGTGTTCCAGAAGAATAGACTGAAATGCCTTTCCCCCCATTAGTCTCTGTTGTTAGAAAAATTTGTGTTTGTAATTTTTAAGTTGCAATTTTTGCTGAAGACTTAAGGAATTGTATAAGAAACCATGTAGGTCAGTATGTGGTTTTTGTTTATGAGGAGGTGGGTGATTTCCAAATGGTTGGCTGTAACCCCGGAGGTGCATGTCTTGTGCAGTAACATGCCTGCAGAAATATTTCCTCAGTTCCTGTCAGTTTGTATACAGACTTCGTATTTTGCTGCTTATATTCATTATTTTTTGTAACATGCTGATTGTTTTTGTTTAGTGTATTTATTTTAATAACAGTGTATTCTTAGTATTTTTGTGATCACATCTGTAGATAAGCTGGACAAACTGTCTAAGTTTTCATTTTCTTTTTCAGTAGTGTTTTTGTTTGTCTTGATTTATTTGGCTGAAGAGACAACAATTCAGTTTAGTTCTTTGACAGCTTGTCTGGCCTGAAATATAGATACCCACTCTACAGTGGGTAGCCAACTATTTAGTGGCTTCAGGATCATGCTACACCCACCCTGTACTAGGACTGAAAGCTTTTTATGACTGCTGACTCCAGCTGGTAGTTTTCTTTCAGCTGAGCAGTATCTGTTTTATAGGACTTAGGAAGGCAGTTTGTATGTCTGAGATCTAGTTGCCTGGGCTACATCTGAGCTCTTTGATCTGTGTAAGGTGTGCATGTTTTTCATGTACCAATCATGAGGATAGTAGGATGCAAGTAAGTGTATCCTTTCTCTACATTACACCAAAGGCATTTGGTAGTGTTTCATTGACTTGTTTCTGTGAAAAGAAGAAATGAAAAACGGAAAAAATGCTGTGAATCTGTTACTGCAGCTCTGACATGATATTGTAGGTGATAGATCATTAATACAGATTCTTAACAATAAAAAATGATTGTTGATGGGAAGAGATAAAATGACATGTCCCCATAAAAATAAAATGCTCACACTGGTTATCAGATACAAGAGTGAAACTGGTGAGAGCTACTGGGTGCAAATTGCTCTTCAAGGGTGAAGCACATGCAAGAGATGGAGAGATCCTTACAGTGTCTAGCAAGTCATGACCATCTCAACTGTGATTGTTAGTGGAAGCAGGCCTTTTCACTGGGAAATTTGTTCTCAAAGTATGTTTTCAGGGTGTTGCAGTAACTCTAGAGACAAGGAATATGGAATTTCTTGTATTAGATGCCAGGTGTAGTCAGGAATAGCCAGTTATTGAGCTGTGCATAAAAGTAATGCACAAAAGGAAGAGTGGGAGCTGCAAGCAGATATAAATGTGTAGGCTTGCAATGATGTTAACGACTCTACAAGCATGAGGGCATTCGCTGTAGTTATCAGTGGCAGCTGCTCATGAAGTATCAGCAGTCTTGAGGGCAGAGGTGGGGACTTTTTAGCTAGTGTGCCATGAGTTCTTTCCTTAAAAAGGTTGGAGAAAGGTGCTCTGGACATGTATCTAGTGCCAAGTGTTTGAATGCTAATGCTTTTTTCCTTAAGTCTTAAATTTTTTTCTTACTTATGCTGCTTGTATATGATACTACTAAAAGCTGCTTGTGTGCTAATCATAGAATTTGCTAGTAGGAATTTGTTGATGGTACTGGGCAGAAAAACAGCTAGGAATAATTGTTTTCTTTTAGCAGTAAATGTCATCTCTCTTCATTAGGCAAATTTCTGTACTACTTAATTTATTTCAATATTCTTATACTAGTGTGGAAGCTTTTTGACCTACGGTTAGTGTGGCTTGAGTTTATTTTGTAGATGCATCAACGTTTTGTTCATGAGCCTCCCTCCAGGTAACAGGTCCAACTATCTTGTACAGTAGCAAAAGAAAAATTCAGGTGGCAAATGCTAGTGTTAAGTGGTAACTTTCTCCCTTAACCTTATTGTCTTAATGCATCACATAGGTAATGAAATACCTTCATTACTCATACTGCTCAGATTTTTTTTGCTTGTTCTTTCAGTAGAGTAGAGAATTGGAAAATATTCAAGATGTTGTTGAAATAAGATACTCCTTCATATTTCCAAATGCCCACAAGCAAAATAAAAACGATTATTAAAACAACTGTGATCATATTATTAGCACTCATGTTAGTTAATATAGTATAGTCTTTGAAAATATCCCAAACATGTTCTGAGAATTCTACTATTCTAATTTTTATCCCTATGGGGGGAAAAAAAAAAAGATGTTTGAACATCTCTTCCTCTGCAAGACCTTGATTCAAGGGTGAATTAAAAGCCATGGCAAACTCTGTGTTGGGCATAATTACATTTTCCCAAGTGAATGATATGGACCAATTTTGTTTAAAAAACATGCTGATGAAGTGATATTAAAACCTCCCTATCTATGGATGATCTAACAGTTTTGTAGCTGCTGTTAAGAGTTGACTGGGATGTGAATGTTTGGGGGTTATTTTTCTATCTTTGTATTTGTAGCACCACCTGACCTGTTCCTACATCCAGAAGATGATTCTTTGTCTTGTTGTTTTTAGTATGCAATATGTTTTGCCTACCCGTGATCTTCCTAAATGATTAATTAGTATCTCTAGTGTCTTTATCAACTCTATATTCTCCTTTCTGTTTAATAGACCAGCTAACAGCATTAGATTATATCTACCTTTTTTTTTTTTTTTTTTTAATAGGAATTTTGCTAGCAATACTGGCTAAATATGTTGGGTGTTTTAGCTCTGGTTCAAGTTTTTACTTATGGAGACTCAACGTGAAAAAAACTTTGAAACTGATGAAATATATATATATATATATATTTGTCCAGAATCTGCATATATCACAGCAGGGAATGTAATCAGACTGTATTAGATGATTTAAAAAACAAAAGAGAGTTTGTATGAAGCTGTGTTTCTCTACTCTTTAAGAGGGAGTTTCTTGTGGCCTTGAATTAACATGAATTTTGCAAGGAAGGGGGTAGCAAGCTACTGCAGAGTTTTTCTTGTCTTCTATAAATAGTATTATCTTAGTAATAGCTTCCCTTAACTCAATTTACTACTTATACTACATGTTATCTATGAAAGAAGTAGAAAGATTTGTGGAATGAAAGTAGAAAGATTTGTGTTATTTTGCAAAATGCATGAAAGTTAAGTTCAGGGCAGATGTTTCTAACATAAAATTTTAGTCCAGCTCTTTGATGTAGTCGATATGATGTTGTTTCCTGTGAATTACATGAATCACAGCAACTTTAAACTTTTTTTTTATAGCCCTACCTGAACCCATCCTTCCATCCCTCCAAAAAAATTACCCAGTAAGTGTTTCTTATGAATTATTACTACATCATATATGTGTATGAAACGTATCTAAAATATGTTTTCTTAAGTGTCTATAACAGATTAAGTTAAACCTAGACTCTAGTCATTGATACACTAAGCATGAACATGAAAACGGTTAATTACTACTTTTGATCATTTCTTTAGCGAAAACAGTGAGAACAACTTTTTATACATGTGGAAACTTTACACTGGGACTAGTGCTGCTCATCAAATTGTCTCTATGCTAGGCTGCAAATGCTCCAGTGTCGTCTGTAAATGTTACTTATTTCTTAGTATATTAACTACTGTTTCCATCTGATTGTCATATATCAGGATTTTATAATGTCTGACAACTGGGTTGCTTGTGTCTTTCATGAGATATTTCTTGATTCAGAGGATTCATTGTATACGTATCTTGTGACCTCACAACACTGTGCTTAAGTTGACACACAAAATCCCCTTTTTGGACTTTGCTGTTGTGTCCAGTTTATACTGTGAGGTTTTCTAGACAACTGTGTGGGTCTGTACACTCTGATCCGCAGCAGAATCAAGGCTGTAACTAGTAAGGCTTAATCTAAGGAAGATTACCTAGAAATAACAGCTACTCTTAAATACTTGTCTGCAACAAAGGAGTTATTGCTGAATAGTTGTGAGCAATAATTTGCATAGAGGAATTGAGTGTGCTTTCCTCCTCACCTTACTTCTGATGTATGACACTAATTCATATTCATAGTTGCTATAGTTTGGTCTTCCTGTCTGTGTGTGCTTAGTTGTGCTGAGTTAGTCTCTAAAAGCCATTCTTTCTATTTGCATACACTTCCTATTGTGCTGAAATGAGAAGATTGGATGTCACTGTGTATCAGGGAGAAATATTGTGAGGTCGGCCATCCTGGGTAATTAGATAGTAAAGATGCAAAAAAGACTTTGAGCAACAGTAACCTGCAGTTTTATCCTTATTTTGTGATCTTGTTTGTGTACTTTTTAATTTTGTTCTTTATTCTACCATGCATCTTCTGATCCCTTCATTGTTATGCTGAAAAGCATTTGACTGTTTTTCATTTCTTGCACTTTTTTACTGTTATTTTATTAGGCAGTTTGGTAACTCCACTTGCCTAAAGGTCATGCCGTAGTATTTTGTAGCATGTGGTTTAAAGAAAATAACTAAGAATCAGTAGGTTCTGTATCTCTTGTTTAAATAATTGTTAGCACCAAGTTTATAGTTTGAACTGTGTAAATGTTTTTAGAGTACCTCACAAATGCTTTAAATACTTTAAATGACTAAGGCAAATTGAAAGTTTTGAATTTGTACAAAATGCAGGGGTGATTCTTGCACCCCATGACAGTAGAAAAACTTGCAGGTTCCTGTGTACTTCCTCACTGTAATAAGAGTAACTTTTTATTTTAACATAGATTTGTGTTAGATATTTTGTGTTTGGGAGGACAGACAAAGCATTCTAAGGTTACTAATAAAAATATTTTATATACTCTATACTTCCTTACAGGAAAAGCAAAAAAAAAAAAAGCTAGAAATTTGCAAATGTATTTTAGATGTTGTCCCTATTAATATAATTGTTTAAGTGTCATAAAAGTTAGAATTTCAGAATACTGATACAGTGAGTAAATGTAAGGTTCAAAGTAAGGAATATACTAGAACAATTCTGGATTTATGCCTAGCTTACAATAATAATTGCAAATATGGGAAAATGTCAGTGCCCTAAGAAACAACGTATTTTACTTGTGCTTGCAGCTGCTAAAAGCAATGCCCCTGTTCTCACGCTGCCCATAGGTTCTGCCTCAGAAGGGGAGATGCAGCATTTTTCTACTTGCAGGCAGCTTTTTTTCAGACACAAATCTGCAGCTCTAACTGCAGCTTCAAAAGACTTCTAAGCTTTGAAAAACTGCATGTTTTGAATTGCAGGTGCAATATAGAAGAGACATCATACATGCCTCAAATAAGAAACCAAAGGCAGATCCTCTGCCTCAGAATCCTTTCTTAAGGAAGATTCTTGTGCAGTCAACATTAAGCTGATTTTTGCATTGAGTATCATGATATATAGAATTCTTGTATGTACACTTGTATTGCTTTTCAGTGTGTAAGCAGCAGGGAGAACATGTGTGAGCTTGACGCATGTTGTTGCGCAAATATGGTGCGTGCTGCTCTACGCTAGGGTTTCCTTGAGGAACCAGCCAAACAAAATGAGAGGTCTGGAGAGGGCAGGAAAAAAGAGGGAAGGGGAAAAAAAAGAAGGAAAAAAAAGGGGGGGAAAAAAAGAAGGAAGAAAGGGGAAAAAAAGTTTTGTGAGCACTTTTTCTGGAGGGTTTTGAAATGATGGATAGCTCAAAAATGATGGCTAGCTCAATTATTTCTCTTCCTACCTCCTCTCAGTTTGTGAGTTTCTTTTTCCATTTCTCAGAATGTTATGAGGCAAATGTGCAGCAGGCAAGTGAAGAACTAGTGCTAAAAGAAATTAAATTTTTTTTTGCCCTCTAGAGCAAGTTAAGAAGGGAAAACCTGCAATTCTACTTGAAACTGAGCTAATTTTAAGGATGCTTTGAAATTCCCTCATTACTAGCTTTCCTTAGGTATACTATCTGTAATCTGTACTTTGCTCCATTTATCTAGTTATTTGTTGAGTTCATCTAATAATAAGAGCTGAACTGTTATTCCTATTTTAGAATAGATGAATGACCTGGGATAGACTAATGAGGGTTCATGGGTTGTCTGTGGCAAAGCAGAAAATCAGTCCAGATTTCCTGTTGCCAATCTGATGTCTTATTCACTGGACACGGAGAAATTGCACTGTTAAGAAATGGGAGAGTGGTAAAGACTCCCAGAGTGGGAGTCTTTGAAATGTGTTCTGTTTTCTACTCCTCAAGTGAGTCCTTCAGGTTTGCCTCAGGTGCTTACGTGACTTCTGTAAATTCAATAGAGAAACATTGAATATTCTGAAAAATGCCTTCACTTGGACTGTACTTCTATACCAATCACCATTTTAAAAACACATTTTTTAAATTATAAAACTGCACATTTTTCTAGCTTTATGCTGTATCAGCAAATCTTACTGATAAAATACTTCTGGATAAAATGGTGCTTTGTATCATTTTGCTCTTTCTATTGCATTTAAGCACATACAGACAGTCATGCAAGTACATCTGTCTTTTGCCATGTTTTATTGTAATAGTAATGGATACATTGTCTTTTACTAACTTACTAGTTCATTGTGTTCTTTATTCAAATTCAAATCAGTACAGCATTACTACATGTTGTAGTTACAAATTAACTTATCTTGATTAATATGTAAAAACATAAATAAAACAGACAGTACACTTGCTTCAGTGTTTGAGTTGCACTTAATGTCAAGATTGCTAAGAACAAGCAACATCTTTTCTAAATTAGGACTAGAACTAAAGAAAATAGCTTATTTATTCTGAAAAATAATATCCCATAGACCCCCTAGGATTTTAGTTGCTCAGTATATTAATGGCCTTTCAGTGGCTGATTTTTCTTGCAGATGAGAAATTTCCAGTAATTTGAATATATAAAGCATAAAGGAAAACTTGTGATTTTTAAAAGTGTCTACTAACGCTAGTAAGGAAATGCTTGGTATCAGTAAACATGTGTCATGGTAGCTTTGCTGCACATTCTTGCCTTTATTGTTGAAGTTGGCAGTTCTCATTCCTCTTTCTCCTCATGCACAGGCAAGGAATGACTTTCACCCCTGTAGGTGTATAAAATATCATATGTGCTGCACAATCCAGGGGAAGCTTCTCTTCCCTTTTAGATCTTTGAATGTGTGCCATGTATGTCTTCATACATGCTTTCAACATGCTTTTCATGTCCCCTCCATGCTTTTTTTGTGTTCTGCTGGGTTGCAAAGTGTTAGATTCTGAGTTCTGGTAACTGTCCTATTACCTCATACAAAACTCTATGCTGTGAGAGCAGAAGCTGAAAGGTTTTACAGCCGGAAACATGACTTTTTTTTATGGATCATACGTTGCTCAAGTTGCCAGAAAACTTTGCTGGAATTGACAAAAGAGGACAAGATCTTACAAATCTTCCTCATTTGATCACTAAGCTCATTTGACTCAGAAGAAGTATTGCTGGTGTGAATAGGGAAATAGTGTGCAATATTTTCAGTATATCTAGTACTAAAATTTGGAGACTCCTGCCTGTTTTTTCTCTTTAAAACAACAAAATGGGGAGAGGGAGATGCACTAATACGACTAAATAGGTTCCTAAATTTTTGTGCATCTTGGGTTTATTTTCCTAAAAATTCACCAGACATTGTGGTAAAATATAACATCCTGACATTATCAACTTCTCAAAACCAGTTTTGTCAGCGCAACAGAAATGATATGATGGATGCCTAGCACTGTAGCAAACTTAAAACAATATTAACTTAGTCCTGAGTAACTTACTTTGGTAGTGGTGATTTTTCTTTTTGGCAAGTCTGCATCTTTTAGAAAAGAAAAGCTTGCTTCAGCTTAAGTGACGGGGTCTGTTGTGTAACTCGCTTTTTATTCTTTCAGATAGCTGAGACAGAGGAGATGCTACTACAATCTTTGAACGTATTATGTGGGAAGGCACAAGTTTGAGCTAGTGGGGTTGACATCAAATTAAATTCTGTGCTGTGGGAAATGACACCTTCCTTCTGGACTGAGAGTTGTTGTATTATGGTTATGGTAACTTAGTGACATCTGTGTTAACTTCATACACCCTGTCTCAGCTTGACTGCAGCCAGCTCAGGCAGAGTAAGGCAGCCTGCACTCTACTCATGTGGTTTCACTAGTCTGTAAGCATAAGTTCATGTTGGAGAATTTCAAAATTCTTAAGCAAACAGAAGGTAAGGGATGGACTTGCTCTCCAGGACAAGGTGATTCTATTTGAGCTCAGTATCTAGCACAGCAGCACAGGAAAAATGATGCTTTTCTCCTTTTGATTTGTGCTTGCAATTTTAATAAGCAAATGATGGGCAACCTTAGTGTTGTTATAAGTAAAAATACATACCAAGTTAAAGCTCTGTGTGTGTGTGTATATACTCTCTGTTTTTATTTTGACAGGACTCTTTTGATCCTACTATGCAGCTGCACCTTGTTCATCAAGCCCCACGCACCATTCCTCCTTACCTCTCAAAAAATGCATCAAGTCTCGGGGATTTGCTACTAGGCTTCTTCAAATATTATGCCACAGAATTTGAGTAAGTATTAAACTCATCTACTATTTTGAAATGTGTAAAATTTTGCTTTCTTTTGTTGGACACATCAGTATTATAAGTCTCTTAAATAGGAAAGAATAGCAGCAATGCAGAAGTGATAACTGACAGAGAGGAAACAAGTGAAAGGATTTGAGGGCAGTGGAAATGCTGATATAAAAAGTGTTATCTAAAATCTTTTGATTAACCATCTACTACTTATTCTGTAAAATAGCTGCCAAAAGTTAGATAGCTCTGGCCTCCTGAAATAGCTGGATTATATATATGTAAATGTTTAAAAACTGCATATCTGTACAAAAAAATCTATCCTTGTTTTTAACATGAGATACATCTTATGATGTGGAATTGCTTCAACCCTAATGGTTGCAGGTGTTTTCTATCATTCCAAGTCAGTGAAGAATATTGTCCTTCCTTACTTTATTGTATGTTTCCTTACTTTATCCATAACCAACACTTAGAGTTATAGAGGCCATTTTTACTTAGGAATTTTCTCATGTCTAGGTGGTTCGCTAACCTGGTTGGTTTGATAGAATTTTACCATCTGATCTTTCTCGTGAAAGAGAAATAGAAGACAAAGTTAGAAAAGAATCTGAGGAAAACCGTAGGTTATGAACACTTTACCAAACTGCTAGTTGAGAATCTCCTACAAAGATTGCTTGTGCATATAAAACACTAGAGGTTTGTATGTAAGCAGACTCTTTAGACAATCTTTAAGCTTTCTTTTAACATGTTTTGCAGATAAATGTTGTCTTTTATTTGTGGAGATTCTATTTGGGTTTTGTCTTTTTAGCCATCCAGCTGCTGTTTGCTAAACCCCTAAATTATAGAATGGTGCTATGTGGTCCTTAAAAGTACATCTCCAAGTTCTTAATGTACGTAGGCCACTAGATGCTTCTTTTGCTACTAATATGTATAATGTTAATCTTCTCAGAAACTGATCTGTTTAGTAAATAACTGTCCATGGTGAAAGAAGCTTCTGGATTGCCTGTGCAAAATGCATTCGGAGCAGATTCTTGAGAAGTTGGTCTCTGTGTTTTGTTGCTTAAAGTATCATTACCTGAACTGTTTGCAGTCCCTGAATATTACTTTTTAGCATCTAAGGAAAAGATGTTATCAATATTTAACTTTAGCGTGATGGAGGAACTTCTGGTGGTTTTTTTGTTTGTTTGTTTTGTTTTTTATTTAAAAAATAAAGGCTGAAAAGATTGAGGGGCTTGTGTAGGTCTAGAAGCAGAAGAAAAGGAGATCAAAAGGCCTCTGGATCTTCTAAATCTAAAGAAGGTTGGAATTCAAGTGAAGATTTGAGGATGGGATATGAACAACTGCTAAAAGAAAAACAAGACTACAGGTAGAGAGTGACAATAGGATAGGTTCTGAAGAGAAGAAAATATTTCAAAAACAGTGAACATATTGCCAACTGTTCAACATTAACTATCTGTTCAATATTTAAACTTTTGACTAGTTATATTATGCTAAAAAGAGCTATAGAAAATAGCTCTGTCAGGCTGAGATATATCAGAAAATGATATAGGAGCAGGATGGAGGTCTCAAAGGTATTAGAGTTCCTTAAAGTTTTAGAAAAACTGTTAATTGGATGGAGGAGAAAATCCCAAATTAGTGTCCTTGCTCAGAAAGGCAGATAGAACGTAGTGTTTAAATATTTTTATTTGTCTGATAGCCAGTCACCAAGAACAATCATCATTCCAAGCTGTCCATAGTGTATGTCATCTTTGCTTTTAGGTTGCTGTTAGAAACAGTGTTTGGAAGGATAGAAATATTATTGCAAACGGGAATTAGAATGAGAGTTAAATACACATAACACAGAACTCTTAGTGCTGCCTTTTATGGCACTAATATTTTTTTTCTGAACTTGTAGAATATTTTTATTGTTGTAATCAATGTTATCATGCCTTGCTTTTCCTGTAAGACACTTACTTGGGTCCCTTTTTATGCAGAATTACAGAGATTTCGTTCCAGGTGACATGACTTCTAAGTCAGGTCACATATTTAAATGATCTGTACTGTGCCAGTGCAGTTCTTGCTGTTGAATGTGTGTGTGTTCTTTTGTTTTTTGTTTTTTTTAATCAAAAGATTACTAAACAAAGGACTACAGTAGTCACACAGGTGACTTGAATAGATTCCTATCTATGAAGTAGGACACAACTACTAGGTTTGGTGGAAAGGATGTCATACTAGAAAAACAGCCTGCAGTCAAGAATAACGAGTGAAGATCAATGTTTGGAACACAATGAGTCACTTCAGTTACCTGCCTACTGATAGGGATACACTTGCATGTATTGGTTGGGAAGCTAGAGATGAATTATTTCAAATTTTCCCCAAAAGCCAGTAGGTATTTCCATTAAAAACTGTATGTTATTTTACTTGATGTAGTACTACTTACTTACAGGATGGTACCAATGAGTCAGCAACAAAGGGAGAAAGAAGAGCCTTGCATGCTGTGCCATTTTATCTCCCTGTGTTGTGGTTTTTCCCTTTTGCTATTTCATCTGCTTCATTAATTTAGACTATAAATTCTTTCAGAGGAGACTACTAGGCTGTACTTAACACAGTGCCCATCCAACATTCCTACCATGTTTTTTTAATTTATTTTTTGCTCTCTGTATAGAAAGTCACTGTTCTTCCCTTCATAAGTTACTAGTAGCGTTATCTGGAAATGGCTGCGTGTGTTGGGCTTAGAGGCCACATCTGGCCCAGCTCATGCAGTTTGCCAGTGGGCTTGTGTAACCGGCCTGCCGCAGGGTTCAAGGTGCAGTGTCTGTGTAGCGGTGCACCTGACTCAGCAGCCTCAAGTATGCGTTTAGCATAGTCTAGCATTTAGGCTTTCTCATTATCAGAGTTCTGCTGATTATGCAGAGAATCTGATAAAACAGGAAAATGTATGGAGGTGTTCCCGAAAGAACATATTTGGAAGCTTCTCCTGTGTTTACCAGGCTCTCTGAAGAGTGTCTGATTTCACTTGTGCAGCTGTGAGTGAAGGCAGCAGGTTTTTGCTTGGCTGGCTTTTTACAGAGTGAGACCTTGGAGCAAGGCCTTGCTTCTCTCTCCTGAAGATATTGCTAGGGATCTAGTGATTATCATTTTGAGCACTTGGGACCCTACATTATTTTTTTATTTATGCAGCAAAGTGTGTGGTACTTCACAGTATTTCTGATTCTTACAAACATGACCTAGTTGAGGAATTAAAAAGAGAGACAAAGGGAGTAGAATGAAAACTCCCTTTGCTTTGAGTCTTTGAATGCTAGAAATGGGCATCGACATGTATCCTGATTTTTAAGCACTAGATCAAGAGAAATATCAATAGACATATGTATAAGTAATCCAAGATATCCTGATGAATGCTTCATATGCTGTGGCCTGCACCTTTGTGTGTATGAAATATCATACACACAAAAAGAAACCCTATTCATATAGTAAATAGAAGAATAATGCCTATGTTTTGCTGAGGAAGTGCAGTTATTCAAACAGCTGACTTTCATAAGTAGCTTTAATCATGAGTTGTTTCCAAACTAATTTGTAGAATCTGTGGGGGCAGACTATTAGCTGGTGCAAACTCTTGTCACCATCGGCTTAATGGAGTTATGACAGCTGAGCTATGACCTAAGAAGCACAGAATTCTTCCAGATTTAACTGATGATTTACAGATTGTATTTTGATTTACAGTGGATTTTTACATAGCTGGAGGAATGTTACTCAGCCAGGTTCTTCCCTCTTTGCAATGTATCAAAAGAATCTGTATTGTCAGCAGTTCCAGTCAGCTGTGCAAAAAACATTACTGCTGGCAGCAATGCTGCCCCCTTATTTCTAGCCCTTATCTAATGGTGGGGGAGTGGTGACCCACTGTTGGCATTCCCAGCCTTTTGCTGATATGGTGGTTTCTTGGTTTAGTTAAGAGCAGCTGGGAACTGGCTGTATAGGGTTGGTTAAGATCCTAGAACTGTAAATAGTTTGATTTGGTTGCCATTATTTTTGACCTATAGCTGTGCCAAGCACATATTTCCAGTATTTTTATTATTTCCCTCTAAACTGTATTGCTATTCCCTCTTTGGTAACATCACTTCCTCTGTTTTCACCTTTAGAACATTGTATGTAGAAAGTAAGTTATCTCCAAATGTATATTTGCTGCTCTGGCACTACAGCTTTAGTTCTAAAATTTGGCATATATGAAGCATGACTGCTTCCTAATAGGTTCCTTGCAGCAGGAATGCTGACCTGTAAGTGTGCTATCTTTACATTGGCCCATCACATACTTTGCAATGAAATCCGTTAGGTGACAGTCTGGGCTTAAACTCTTTACCTTCCTTTTTCCCCACAGAAAACTGTGAAAGATGGATTTACAAAGTACTAATTTATTTTGTATTTGGGGGAAAAAAATAGGTTCCAGTGTTCAGGTTGATAGTGGTTTCTGGAAAAAAAAAATCATGAAAGTATGCTCTTCATAGAAACCTGTGGTGTTCTGTATTGCAGATGTTTTCATAAATAAATGTGTTTGAAAAAATGTTGCTTGTTTCCTACCCATTATTCTTCATATTGTGAAGATTAAACTGTTGTCCCTGTTTCAGGTTATTAAAAAGGATTGTGCTATCTATAGTATTTTGACATCTTTTTAATGCAAACTGATATTACTCATTATTAACAGTTTGTAAGGTCAGTAAACTGTTTTTCTTTTCCCTAGCTGGAGTCATCAAATGATTTCAGTTCGTGAGGCCAAAGCTATTCCAAGACCTGATGGTATTGAATGGAGAAACAAATATATTTGTGTGGAAGGTAAAATGTAAAACAGCATTATTATTTTTGGCTGTTAATGCTCCAGACACTTGAATCTGTCATTTGGACTTTACCCATCATATTTAAATGTGATTTTTTTTGTAGAAAACTGTTATCAATGTAGCTTGTTCTATAGTTACGTAACAGTCTCACTAAAAACATCTGAGAAGGAAGCTTTAAGTTCTATAATGTTTAAAAATAGGTCTCCTGACCTTTTCTTCAAGTGAACTCATTGCCCTGTTACTTTTGGAACAGAGATGGGGGATTTTGAGAAGGAATGGTCTTCGTGACAGTAATCTGGTTTTTGCTGGTCTATAAAAAGAATAGTCTTCAATTCTTCCAAATTTGAGCTCCTCCAAAAACACAGTGGGCACATAACCAGATTCCTCTCCAAGACTATGCTTTGTTCCAGTAATGCTTTGGCATCACAGTTCTAGTGACTGAATGTGTGTATGTGGGTTCCTTTGTGGCTACTTGGCTTATACAGTTACTGTGGTGACATTGGTGATGTTCTCCAGAACAAGGGGTCAGCTCAGGCATACTTTTGGAGTTGAAGCTCTTAAACACTTGCTTCACTATATATGTGAATTGCTCCCTGTCCTCTTAATGCCTTAGAGCTGCTATAGGGAGCCTTCATGAAGAAGGACTATGAACAGTTTGCAGGCACAGGAGGTATGAAGCTTGGAACAGCAAAAGAAAAAAAAATAAAGGAAGGATTATTATTTTAGGAGGGAGAATGAAAAGCAGAATAAGACTGGGAACTACAGTGCAAAAACGAAATGGTTAAGTAAATAAGAGAAGGAATCGAGTACTGGAAGGCAGCAAGTGAATGGAAGTCAACTGGACAAGACATCACGATAAAGGAACCAAGATAAAGTGGAGGCAGAATCAGAAATGGTGGCTGAGTATACTGGGGTGAAAAGGGAAAGGTTTAGGATGAGGGAGGGAGCCTTGGCCCTAGGTCCCAGTGGGAGCCTCAGTTAGGATGAGGAGATCATGAGTGAAGTTTCAGGATAAATAAGGAATGGAAAGAATTGTTACAGACTCAGAAAACTTGGGAGGGAAGAAGGCAGGAGTGCAGTGGGCTATGAACACATTCCATAGTTCTTGAAAGTCTGTGTGTGCACGCACACACTGTTTCCTCCATTAATGCTGCTCTTTGCAGAGCATACTTAGCTGCTGGCTGATAGTCATTCTGTGGAGAAGAGCTATTGAACTTGGCAGTAATCATATGGATGAGGGTGTGGAGTAACGTGGTAAAATCCATTTGTCATCTGGAAGAAAATTGACTACCGGTCACAGGGAAAAGTACCCTGAAAGCTGTTAAAAAGGTTGAGATGGCAAAGCGAACATGCAGAATTAAGAAATGTGAGAAGGGGAGTATCGGCACAGCTGAGATGGGTTGGGATAGTGTATTGGAGATTGTTGGGATACAACTGGGATAATTGTAGTCATTGCCCCAGGCACTGCCATTCTCACCATGGGAGCTGGAAATGCTCCACAGCTGCCCCAGCTGCACCCGCGTGGGCCGAGCCAGGGCCTGCAGGGGCTGTTGCAGGTTCACTGTCTCTCTTAACGCTAGAAGGTGGATGAATGGTTGGTCTTTTCTTCAGTTTAGTTTGAAAATAATCTCAGCACAGAAATTAGGCATTTTAGAGTGTGTATTGAATGTGCTTGATTACATATAACTCTCTGAAGAGAGTGTGTTTTGCATTTGAACTGTTGAAGCAGCAATTGTCTGTAGCAGGCACATCTCATTCCCTCCTGCTCCCACGTCCTTTAAGACTTGATTAGTGCGGACATGATTCTCACACAGCAAGTTCCTATTAATAATTCTGAAGGAAAAATTTTGATTTCCTATTCATATTCCAAGTAGGCCTCATATCTGTAAGTCCTACTAGGGTGACATGTTTTCACCAAAAATAGGTAGATAAAATCTTCTGGTACTGAGAGAGAACTCTTGAAAAGTTCGATAAAGATGTTGACGTATCCTAGTTTGAAAGTCTCTGTAAGCTTTATCTATTTAGTTGACTAAAATTTCAGTAGCTATAACTTAGTAATTTTTAAAACTATAGATTTTATAAATCTGCCTGCAAGTTGCCATAATTCTACAGGTAGCATTATGTTTAAGCTTGCCAAAAGGAAAAAAAATCTGCTTTATTTTCTTTAATTATGCCTTAATACTGAATCTCATTTGCATTTTTACCGTTACAAATGAATGTATAATTAGCAGTGTGGTGATAGCAATAATGGTCACTCTTAAAGGATGTTCTGAAAAGATCACTATCAGAAGATCTAAACTGTTAGGGACTATTCTGGTTTAGCTTAGCTTTTGTCTATATTAGATGGTATCATATCCTTTTGAAAAAGACACATTTAGAAAAAAACAGGAATTTGGCAATTTTGTAAGACAATTAATTGACAGTCATTTAGGGAAAACTGTCTATACTGTGCCTGATTCATGCTTGTATTTATAAATCTTTCATCTCCATGAGAATTTAATACACATTAAATTCATTTCTGAAAATAATTCTTCAGAGCTTGCTGTGCAGCTTTGAATTTGTATGGTTTCTTGTATTTTTATTTGGGAGCTTTGAATTTGTATGGTTTCTTTTTTTTATTTGGGAATATGATCCCTTTTCTTCAAGCATCACAGTGTTGAAGTTGTTCAACTTCTTTTCTAAAACTGTCAATGAACTACCTAATGAAGGATTTTCACTGTCCTCATGCTTAGAAAATGTTAGTGGTATAAATAGTTGCCAACTGCAAAATTATTGCTGCGTTTCAGGGAATGAATGAATTTGAGGGTTAGTAAATATGCAAGAAAAATAAAGGGAAGATGTGAGTCAGCTTTTGTGGCAAGGCAGAGCGCCTTTTCTCCCTACTGTCAATTTTACAAGATTTTACCGCTTTGCTGTTGTTACTTTCTAAAAACATTTCTTTGATACAAGATTAAATACATAAACACCCTAGCATTAAAGAAACATCAAATGTGGGAAACGCAGAAGTGCTCTACTGCTGCAGGTGGTAAGGGATCCGGATTTCTTGTAGCAGTATCAGATTATGCGACTGTCACTGTATCAAATTATGCCACTAGAATTAGAGAGCTAGATACTTGTTTTATTATTTGCTTGCCAGTGCTGTGATCCAATATGATGCTGCAATGTACGATGCACCTTAAAATGTGTAAACATTCATTAAAATACTTCATAGATAGTTTAAAGAAAAACCTTCTAGGAATATGCTAAATGCAACTTTTATTGCTTGGAACAATCTCCTTGATTGAGAGTTTAAATAGCTTTCATATTAAAAGCCTCGTGCCATGGAACATTTTCCAGATTTGAAGTCCCATTCTTCATAATGTCAAAATCACTTCTGAGGTGTGTTTAATGTAATATTCATTCTATGTGTCTCTAAATAAAAGCAATTCATAACCAAGTCAATATAAATGTTACCTGATATAACGAAGACTTCTGGCATTCCCAGGATTCTGAGGTCTTTTCAGGCATTCTGCCGGTGTGAAATATGCCACATTTATTTAAGCATTTCTCTAGTATGGCAGGAAAAAAAAAGTATTAGATCTGTTTGCAGTGTGTTGCAATGCATAGTCTTTGCATCTCAGTTCTTTAATATTGGCTTATTTACTGTAATGTGGGCAGCCATCACAGTAACAAGGAGTACTTTTAAGTCTGTCAATATATTTAAAAAAACAAAAATCTGTCAACATAACTGATTATGCTGGCCAAAAAATAGTAGTCAACATACAGATTTTTAATTCATTGGAAATGAGAAGGAAGCCTCAACATATGAATATATGAACATGTCAACAAATGAATAGATGAAGTGGATTAGATTTTTAGTAAGATAAATATTTCATTACTAGTTAATACTTTTTTTACATAAAAAGATGAGGATATTTTACTGTAATTCTTGTATTTCATTAGATTCATGTCATTCAATAATCAAAGGGAACAGTTCCAAGGAGGGATATGTGCAATAAGTTCCAAAACATTTTATTTTGCCAAATCATATTCTATAGGTCAGAACAAACTATTAAGCAGTCACAAATAATTACAGATTCATGAATTCAGCATATCCGTGGTATACTGCAGAAGTAATAGTCTGATTTTTATTGTGAATTACCTAATATTGAGTGTTTGAGGGGAGGAATGAATGAATTGCAGAAGCAAAGTGGACTCAACAGCTTAAAACCCTCTTGGGATCTAATAATATGTTACCTCTTCTGTGTGTATGGGTGTGTGCTTTTTTTTGTTTGTTTGTTTGGTTGTTTTTTGTTTGTTTGTTTTGTTTTTTGTTTGGGTGTTGGTTTTGGGTGAGCGTGTGGTTTTTTTTTTGATTGCTTGCTCAGTGAAGACAGCCTAACGCCACTGTTCAAAACACTTTTAATGTTTGTGTTTGATCTTGCAGAGCCTTTTGATGGGACAAACACAGCTAGAGCTGTACATGAAAAACACAAGTTTGACATTATCAAAGATGAATTTATGAAGGTAAAAAATGCATCCAGTTTAATCTTTCCAGACAATTTAGTTTTATATATATATATATATATATGTTTTTTTACACTAAGGAATCTATTTGTCTCATGGCCATTGAGATGGGATTTCATTATGCACTGTGGTTAAAATGGACTCTGCATAAAGAAAGGAGAAGTAGTGCAATTATTTGCAGGTTCATGGCCTAACAGATATGTCAGAGTTGTCCTGGAATCTAGGAAGAAGTGGAAATAACCTATTTTAAAGACCTATTTATAAGCTCTGGAGATATCAGAGGATAACTTCTTGTATCAGGCACTTCCATGTGTGTGAATTAGAGGCAATCATTTTTCAGTCAGAATATCAATGTTAAGATATCATTATTCTTAACATAAAGAATGTTAACATCTCTGTCTCCGCACATACTCTCTCTTCTTGAATAGACATATATTTCTCAACGGTTCATTACATTTTGAGCATCTTTGAATTCTTGTTCCCTAAAAAAAGAAATCTTTTTCAAGAGGGAAAAAGTACCAACTTTGTTTTTTCTTGCGTATCTTTGGGGCTTAATGCTTACAGTGGTATTTAAGTATTAATGACACAGAAGATGATTTAACCTTTTAAAACCTTGTACTTCTTTCCCAGTCTTGGCAGATATTACGAGACAAGAAAGACTTGCACTGTATATTACCTTTAAGAACAACTATACAGAAAAGATAACCGACTTCTATCATTTGCTCCTTATTGGATCCTGCTGAAATAAAGAACAGTATCAAAATCAAGATGCAGTTACCCTATCGTTTTTTATGACATGTTTTTCTCTTTAAACTTTTGTTAAGAAAATCTTTATATGAAAGATTGCATATTTTATTATTGACATTTGTTAATACAGCTTCAATACAAAAGTATGTTCTCAGAAAATGCTTGCATTGTTGACTTCTAGAAGAGACTGATGTGACTCAAAAAGCAGCCCACAGCAGCCCAAAACTATTTTAAGGAAAGTATTGGAATATATTGACTTCTTGTTTCCATAATCTATGTAATCATTAATTCAGACACACTTAACCATGAAATAAAGGAATTCAGAGCTAAGCAATGTACGAGTCTGACTGTAATCCTTAAGGCACTGCACACAGAACACACCTAATGAACATACAGCCTGGGCCTTCCATCTGCTTAACTCAGTATGCACTTTTGCTCAACCTTGCACCTTCCAATTCCACTTCCCTCTTACGTGGAACGACAAGCAACAGTTTATGAAGATTAAACCAGATTATATTTGACAACATGCTGGATACCAGGAACTGTAATCTAAACTGGAATTTTCAAGCAGCAGATCTACTACAAAGAAGTTGAAATAAAAAATGACAAATCAATATATGTAAATGTCATATTCACACAAAGTCGTCCAAATACCTTTTAGTGCTTCCTTTAACGTATTTGTAGTAGTAGTGATGACTGCAGTCAAACACTCCTCCTGCTACAGGAAGCTGGGCTTTTGTTTTAATTTTGTGTAAATATTTGTAAATTGGTCAGCTACTGTAAATTAAATTAAAATAAGGAATCTTGACAATTTTAGCTTTTCCAAAGTTGTGAAACTTCTTTTAGACCTGCTGTAGCACAGTTTGTGCCTCTCATGTATTTGTTATTGAAGACCAATTCATTGTTAAAACTGTACTTACTGTCAATTTTTTTTAAGTTTAATATTTTGTATGGTGTTCCATGGAATAAAATTTATATGGAAAATACAACTCCTTTTTCTAGTTTGATGTTATTTGTATTGGATATTTTAAATAGTTGCTATTTCTTATAACTATGTAGAAAAGAAAATGCTATGTATAGGTCTTAGGTCCTTTTTTAAAAATCATAAACTTCTATAGGTCTGTTTTGCACTGCATGTGTGTACAGGTAAATGTTTAAACCAGTACTGTTTCTAAGGAGATTTTTAAAGTCCTTATAACAATGTAAAACGTGTGGTGAGTTTTTGGAGGTTTTGAGGTTTTTTTTTTTTTGTGTAGATCTTAAAGTTTTTCTCCAGGGGTTTTGAATTTAAAGTTTAGAAACTTTGAACTCTGCCTACTGTGAGGTTACTTGATTGGGATCTGGTCTGTCTAATAATTTTGCTTCCTTTTACAGTTTAAGCAGTTTCTTTGATTTTATTGAACTCTGGCAGTCCACAAAAACATTCTCATTCTGTATCTCTGCTCTCCCTCACCAACTCCTCCTCTCTTAGTAGGGTGGTAGACTTGGTCTTAATGAAATATTCACTTTATAAATGCCCTGTTCTATGTAAAAAGCAACCAAAGTGGTTTTAGTATGGAATCATGTCTGGATTCTAAGATGCTCTGCAAACCCAGGATGTTTTTTTATAATATTTTTATAACGTGCCCTTTTCTTGAAAGGTGGTCATGGTTCTTGTTTACAAATTTTTCTTGAAATAAGATAAGCCAGGCATATTCATGATTAAACTTTGGAGGAAAAAAATGCATTTTGAGTAAGCTGGATGTGAAGTATGAAACTACATGTACATGTATGTCTTTCTCATAAGAATTTGCATCTGAGAACTTTGCAGCAGAAAGAAAAATAAGTGTCACCTAAGGAATTAATATGCACACTTTATTGCACTATATTTTAAATTCCTTCTTCATATCTGTTCTAAAACAGATAAAAGTATCATTTTCTTGCAATGTGACAACTTCTGTATGTCTCTTTTGCAGCCTATGCCCCACCAGCTCAGTGGTTCTTTTAATACCCTGCAAGATCTGTGACTATACTGGCCTGTGCATTTTAAAAGAATCTTATTGTATTTTTTTCTTAAATTCTGGTACTTTTGGTAAGCTCTATTTATAATCAGAAACATGAAGACCAGATGGTAATTTTTCCCAAATGTAGGGAGATGGGCATGTTCATAGTGTCCTCTAACAACACAAAACTCGCTGCTAATTTGCTGCGTGCTAGCTGAGCTGCAGGCGCTTTCCACTGACAAAGGCAGGGTGTGTGTCTTGGCCTGGCCAGTGGCCACAGAGAACTGCCATAGTCCTGTGTAAAATAAGCTCTCTGTAGCTACTGGCAAGTGGTTCATTGGCAGAAGCACAGAATGGCAGTAGTCACATATGTTAAAGAGCAGCCTGAGTGACTGGGAAAGTAAATTTTATGGAATTCATACTGTGGTGTATGAGTTCCCTCAGGCCAAGCAAAAGCAGCAGCACTTTCAGTGGAAGTGACAGACCAGCAACCAGTGAGTGTAATGGGAGTTATGTCGTGGGCTGTGACTTTTGACAGAAAGTATCAGAATATCACAGCATCAATTGTTTTGGGATGGGGTGGAAGTTCTACATAGGCTGAAGGTTTTGGGGGAAGATGTAATGACCTGGATTTTTATCTACTCTGGGCAGGTATCCAGAGTGAGGAATCCACTAATAGTTATCATAAATCTTAGTGTTAACACAAAGGTTTTCATTTCTCCTCCACTTCAAAATAAAAACCTTTGTGTCCTCCCTATACAGACTAAGGAATAGTCTTATGGGAGATATTCTTTAGAAGGTCTCTCTCTTTTTTTTCTCTTTTTTTCCTTCCTGACTGACCATGGTCTTGATGTTTGTGCAAGGTGACAGCATCTCTGAGGCTTCACTGGCATAAAGAAAAATGCTATATTTCAGCTCAAATGTATTTTGAACCAACTTGGGAAAGGAACATAGCATCAAATAATGTATGCATAATGTAGTCTGTGTATTTTAAAGTGTTTTAATATTTTAAGAGGTTCTTTTTAAGGAATTCTTTATGAAGAATTCAATGTATAACGGTTTTGAGAATCAAACTGAAGGGCAGCGGAATGATTGGGATGAAACAGGATGAAATGCCTATCAGTCAGAGTAAACAGATGCAAGAAGAAGGGTAGTCAATTCAAAGTAGCCTTTGCATAGAGCATCTTGAATGCCTTTTAGAAGCTATGCTTTACTTAAGTTTCTAGACCCAGTTCTAGATTTACTTAATGTTAAATGCAAGTCTATTGGAGAATATTGTTCTTGATGTAATGAATTCTTCTTCCTTTGGGGTTTTTGTATATGTTTTATAGAGTTCTTGTTTTTGTTAGTAATCCTGTTGATCTGTTAATCCCTGGATGTACTGATACACCTCTTTTACATTTATTATACAAGGTGCTTGTAAAAAGAGCATGAAAAAGCACGTTATCTTGGTCTACTTACAGCTCAGATTACGTTATGAGAACTACACTAGCTCTGAAAATAACTTGAATGGGTCCTGGTAAAAGGTTTGTCACCTTCCTGTAGTTGTGTTGAAGATGAAAACAAAACCTGTGTGATGTACGTACTTTCCCTCTATAAGCATTTCTGCAGGACTGCAATACGGTGTCTTCCATAGGTAAGGAATACCTTAAAAGCAAATTCTCTGCTGTGCTGTATTCCCTTCCACTGTGCTTGTGAGAAAATTTGAAGTATAGTTTTAGAGTCTATTTCTAGGATAGTTGTTTAACAAATGATGTTTGAGTACAGAGTATGTCTTGTAAACTGCGCTCCATAGGCCTCAGTGGGTGAGTTGGGGAAATCTTTTTTGTACGTGCTGTTTAGGAAATATTTTGCAATGTGTTAACTTTATCAGGAGGGTTTTAATTTTGTACCGCAGGGAAAGCTTGTACATGGAAATACCAGCTTGAGTATTTCTATTCTTATAGCTCTAGGACAAGTTTGCTGATTCATTTACAACCAGCCATTTATCTGAAGATCCAAAAGAAGGGGAAATAGGAATAGTTATACTGTGTATTCAATGTTTATACTTGAAAGCATATGAAAATTCTTTATAAACTGAGTCTGATTGTCTCTGTTATTTATATATATATTTATATATTTGGTTAGTACAGTTTGGAAATGTTTCTATTTCGTCTGTGAAAAGCACCGCATTTTGTATGAAAATAGAGAATAAAAAAAAAAGTGACTTAAACTCTACCTAGAGATACTGGTTGTCTTTGCTTCCAGCCCCTTGGAAGGGGAGGTGAGGCAATTTGAAATGCCCAATTATTTAATATCTGGGCCAGTTTAGGGAGTTGAACTACATTCCCTGCGCTTTGTTAAGAGGTATCCGATGCACTGTAACTTTTAAGATCCACTGGTAACCAGTCATCCACCAGTAACTTTATCCACCCTTTCTCTGGAGCCAAGCCCAGGCGCCCGGCTTTCCTGAGCCTCCCAAACAGGCTGTTTGGTCGGTGCCGCAGCCCCGGAGGGACAAGCGCCATGGCCGCGTCGGTGGCCTCAGCGTGGGCGGCCCCCGGGCCCGCGCCGCCCCGGGCCCGCTGCCTGGTTGGTGCTGGGAGCCGCGGCCGGCAGGCGCGGGCCGAGCCACTGCCGTAACGTTGCCGCCTGCTATTTAAAGCCTGCCCGGAGCCGGGAGCAGCGAGCGCTGCCGCCGGGCATGACAGTTGCTTCAGGCAACCCTGGGGAGGACAGGGTCGGGGGTAAAGATCACCGGCGCGGGCCTGAGCTACCGGCAGCATGGAGGGTCGCCGCGGCGCCGAGTGCGACCGGGCCTCCGAGACCTCCTCCGTCCTAGAGGATGAAGAAGAGGAGGAGGAGGAGGAGGAGGAGGAGGTTGTGGATCCCGAGGAAGCGGAGGAGCTGACTAACAGGTATGGCCTCTCTGGAGAGGCAGCAGCCGTGGACGGTGCTCACGGTTTCGATGCAAAGCACCGCTCTGGGCCACTATACCTGTTTGGGCCTAGTTTGTCTATTTTACTTTCTTTTTTTAAAAAAAAAAAAAATATATATATATATATATTTAGCCCTTGTTTTTCCCTTTTCCTCTTCTTCCCCACAACCGTGAGCACGCGTGGGTACAGTTAGCGGGGCAGTTTCTGGAGGACGTGGCTGTAACTAAGTTCTGGGCAGTGAGTGCTGCCCTTGGCTCCGGGCAGCGCTGCTATTTCGGGAGCCGCGCGGCGGTGCCAGCTCGGGCGGCGGTGCCCCCTGCGCCTCCCTCCCCGGCAGCTCCTTGTCCCACACCGCTCCGACGCGCTCCGGAGAGCTGCCACCCTGGGGCCATGGCCCAGCACGGGATGGGAGCCTTTTAGCTCCTTCCTTCTGCTGCCTGTCTGTGCCTCCCTTCCCATTCCTCAAAAAAGGGGATTTTTTTCTCTCAGCCTTCCCCACTGTGGATTTGGATTCGGGCGCCCAACACAGGGTCATGGTGGGGAGGTTCAGGCCGTGCTCCGGCGCCAAGGCCGGTTGTCGCCCCGATGTTTTGGTTCCCGTGGGAGTGTGTGGGCCTCGGCTCTCTCCATGGTGCGGCTGCAACCGGATCCTGCGGGGCCGGAGGAGGCGACGGGGCCGAGGTGCGCCCGGGTGTATCACGTTGCGCAGCTCTGCCATGCCCGGAGCAAAGCTGCCCGCTCCCACTGTGCGATGCACAACAGCCCCAGCAGTTGTGTCAACGTCTTCCTTAAGGAACAGGGGCTGCGTGGTTCATAAAACCTCTTGAGTCGTTCTTTATTTCCAGCCCCTCTGAGCGTATCGCTTTTGGAAGCTGTTGCCTGCTTTGCCCCTCTCCGCTGGCGGCACAGGAGGGCAGGAAAGTGGTGGCCCCTGCACAAACCAAGCCATGCCAGGAGCTGCAGGAAGCGAAATGGAGGTCGGAACGCTAGGAAAGCGCAGTGAGAAGGAAGGGCTAGTTTTCCAGAGAAATGGGTGAACGCTCCCAAAAGTGAAAGCTGGTTTTTTTTTAAGGAACGTTTTGCTGGATGCTTTTGCATCCCAGGAGAGGACGGATGGCATAACTAAAAATAAACTTAACATGTATTTCTACATATGTGTGTAGAAATAACCAAGAAAACCAACTGAAGCTGAGGAATAGCAATTACTCCTTGTAGACAATTACAACGTGGTCACTTGGGTAGATATTCTTGATGCTATTTGCCATGAAATACCATATTGTACTATTTAAATTTAAAGCACAGGTAGGAATGTCTAACCCCTCCCACAGGTGTGCTCACTGTCCATCGCAGACGCTCCCGGCCAGGCCGGGAGGGCGACTCTAGTTTGAGGCCTGAGTGCAGCCCTCCTGGCCGGGAGCGTCTGCGATGGCCTCGCAAGGACGTTCAGTTTGGTGCTTGACTGAATCACAGCAGTCTTTCCCTTAAGTTCTCAGTGTTGTGTGGAGTTGTACCATTCGTTATCTATCCTTGCTCGGCTTGATGATAAGATAGGCTGGAGCTTACTGGGGTGTTTTTAACTGTTTCGTGCTACTGAGCTTTGCTTGATTTAACTAGGCTAATGGAGATGTAAAATTTTGAGTTTTGACACAGTTAGGATAGCAGCTCTGGGATATCAGGAACAGTTTGTTAGCATTAAATAGAGGAGATTCTCTAAGGCATATGTTTTGTAGTTGCAGGTGTCAGTATCTGTTGAGCTTTAGGACTTCTCCAATGCTGTCAGTCCGTGCAGAACTCTGAGGAAGGGCTGACCAGGCCCTAAAGATGAACTTGTGCGGTTTGTAAGTTAATTATTAGTTGAGAAACGCATTTTAAAGACTCTGTTGCAGAATAGAATTTCTGTAATGATTTGAAAACACATCTTGGAGGAGATGTGACCAATACCTAAAATTGGCTGAAGACAGCCTGTGCTGGACCCTGATGTCACTGGTTTATTTTTAAGCCCTCGGAGCTGCCTGCTGCTCGGCTGTTCCCGCTCTCCGTGCAGCTGAATAGCACCTGATTCTGCAGAGCTGCGAGCAGCAGGAAACTGCTCGCTGCCGCCTCCAATTTCCATTGAAAAGGGCGCAATCTCTCTCAAGCATGCTAAATATTCCCGTTGTATAAAAGCATTACGCCCCAAAGCAGCGGCTCCCAGGACGTTGCTCTCTTGTGTCGCTGCCAGACCCCAGGGCCTGCCTGAGCCACCACTGCTGCTGTCCCGCTGCTGCCCCTGGGGCTGTGATTCCCCACGCACAGGGCGCTTTCCATTGAGAAAGTGCCTTCCTCTAGGAAACCTCCCACAAACCAGAAGTTTCTTCAGTGAAACTTTTCTTCTTTTAAAAAAAAAAAAAAAAATTATATACATATATTTATATATATAATTATGTATATATTGAAAATGATAAAAGGGGCTGCAGCCTAACTTACAATTTGCCCAACAGTTATCATATCTGCCCATAAAGAGCAGAAAAGTTGGGGCTTTACCTCTTTAGCAGTTGTTTCCATGTAATCTTTAAATGGTCGTGCATTTTCTCATGCAGTTTCCCAGTGCAAACAGTGAGGCTAACATGGGGTGTCAGAAGCAGTTAGGAGGATGGGCTGAGGCATCGTGTCCTTGTCTGCACAAATACTCGCCTCTGATGTTCTGCCTGGGCTGGCCCTTGGGTCCTGTCCTGTGGGAGATGATCATCCTAACGGATGTCTGCCACCTGGAATTAATGGTTGAAATAGTGAAAATATTTTGAAAGGATGTGTGCTATATTTTTAGGAAAGTAGCAGGCATGAGCATGAAGATAACCAGTTTTAATTCTTCTTAATTGTGGTACTGAAGTCCAACTGTAGAAAGAGAATAGCTACCCAATTTACCTCTCCGCTAGAATATCAGCCTCTCTCAAATTTATCTGATCTGCATTACAAGGCAGCTGATGTTACATAGTTCTGTCTCTTACACTCTTATATGTTGACAAGGGAAATGTAGCTGCACACCCTCCAAAGGGAAGTAAAAGAGATGTGGGGAAAGGGTGTTTCACTTCAGTTTTCTCTCCCAGCCCAGGGAGCTCCTGAGTTGAATTAAAGCAGCCTTTTTGCAAGAACAAGGAATGAAGTAGAGCGTCCTATGGGAACACATCTCACTCGGGTGCTGCTGGGGTTAGAGGTGGTTTCTATTCACTCTATTGCACAGAAAATTAATTAAATTTGCCAGCCAAAACACTTGGGGAAAACTCCTCCCTTCTGTATTTCCAAGCTGTGCATACTGGCTGAAGAAAAAGCAAGGCAAAGTAGGTACTTCTGGCTGTAACTGTTCATGAAGGACTGAATTTTATGCACATAATTTTCAGTTATTTCAAGTAAAGAGGCCAAATGTAATCAAGGCTAACACAGATGTTTTGTGCTATATTTGTGAATGAAACACATGAGAAGCCTTGCTGTACATCAGGTAGCATGGAAAAATAGTTTAAAGCATGATTATATTAAAAAAAAGAAGCAGGCCTTGGAGTGGACTCAAACCTTAATGACTTCCTCAGTACTAATGCAATTTTTTTGTTGTTTTTTAATGTTTAATGTTTTATTTGCTTTTTAAAGTCAAGTTAATATTGTCGAGTCATGTCACTAGCAAAGGGAAACAACAGCAGCCAATTTGATCTGGATTTCTTTGCTTTATATTATCTTTCTTTTGGAGGCAGGTCAGTGACTGCCTGTACGTACTGGGCTGTTTGGCCTCTGCGAAGCCTCTGCCTTTGCTGGCAGACCCTGTGCTTTTCTTTCCACCAGCTGCTAACGTGACTTTCCTACATGAACTACTAAGGAAGGAAGAGTCAAGGAATATTGGGTTTCAGTTTGTTATTGCTTACCTTTTCTATGTTCTATTGAAATACTTACTGTATCTATAAGAAGACAGTTTAAAAATAGTATAGTATATATGTCTTTTAATTTTCTGCCATTGTTTACACTCTTATTTCTAAGATTTCTTTTTTTCTAAACCTTGTCACAAAATGTTTCTCTCTTTTTTTAAACTGAGAGCATTTTTAATTTCAACATACACTAGTGTACTGGTTGCATGTCATAAAGCTTGACGTTATCTTCATAAAATGTGGTCATTTCAGAAAGAATTGGGGCCTCGGTATATTTTCACTGCTGAGCACATTCTGAGCTACTTATGAACAGCTATAGTTGTTTACACCTTGGCAAAGCAAGTATGAGTGTTGTTAAAATGCTGACAGTATCTTTAGCGCAAGGTTTAAATAACACTGTGAGATAACCAGGCACTGGAGAATAGGGCTCCAGAATCAGTTCAATCTCTCAGTGGTAAAACAAGGTCAGATCAAAGACTGTTTTCTCCTGCATTCTCAAGAGCATTTATACATCTCCACTTCATAGAAATAACCTTGCAACATGAAGTCCTGCAAAAATTTGTCTGAAGCATATTTGTCAGGTGAAATATAATATTGTTTGTGCTCGTATTTCTTAATCTATGCATGTGCAGTAGTTTTACAAGTTTGAAAAGTATTTTCACTTTAATGCATTGAATTTTACTGATTTTTTTATTTATTTTCCTTTTTATTTGACTTTATGTTTCAATTTTTTTAGTTTAAAGGATCTTATCCAGAGTGAAGATGTGAAACCCAAGCTGCAGTACATCATGACTAACCCCTCCTTTTCCATGGTGACAGTTCAAAGTGAAGATAGTGGAATAACCTGGGAAACCAGCTCAAGCAGATGTTCAACTCCCTGGACCTCAGAAACTAGTGCAACCTCTGATCTTTATAGTATGGAAAGTTCACCAGTAGGTTCTCCTCCAGGAAAAGTTATCTTTATTATGGATGAAGGTAAGATTATTCGGAAGAGGAAGCGTCAGCCTTCAACTAGGGCGATGATGCCTGCAAATCTGAAGGGAGGCCAGGGCAATAAAAAACGTGACTTCTCTGGAATGCAGAGGCAAGAACCAAGAATGGTTCTAGCAGATGTGCAGGGCTCAGTATTAAATGTTGAACAGATGGAAGCACAAGATACGGATGAGGAAATGTTAGAAGACCTAGAAGATCTTGAAAACATTGCGGGAGAGCCAGTAAAACGTGCTCCAATCAGATCAATTTTTCGAGAAAGCAAACTGAGAAAAGTAGGGCCAATCCTTGGCGGACCAGTAAAGTCTAGAATCCAGCTATTCAACTCAATTTTTGGAGGAACTGGGCCCCCTCCTGAAACACTAGAAGAAAAAACTACAATCCAGAGATCTAGTTCAATTTCAGGAGAATCTGAACATTTCCTTGAAACATCAGTAAGAGAAAGATTGCAGAAGTTCAGTTCGTTTTCAGAAGGAACACATCCAAAACCTTTCCAGAAAGCAAGAAGTAGAACTCTTGACACACCATCAGAGAGAAGGAGAGAGCAGAGACGGCAGCTCTCATCGCAAGCAAATCAAAGCTATTCGTCACCTATGGAGCCCCTTGGAAAACGGCTTCTCAGCAAAGACAACGTTTCATCTAAAAACATTAAACCCGCTCAGTTGAAAGAAAAACCTAGCATATATTCAAGCTCTGGTGCAGAAATAAGCCTTCAGCATGAAGAAAGAAAAGAAAGGCCATCTCTGGCTGAGACTCCAGGCCAGGTGTCAGGATGGGCCCTGGAGTCCGGCCTTCCTGAAGAGGCAGCGAAGCAGCAGAGTTACCCTCACAGCCCTGTGGCCAAGGGAGCAGTAACACAGAGGTCAGCGGTCCTTCCATTAGACCCTGGTGACAAACCAGAGGAACAAACGCTCCTTCTCCAAGCTGGGGCCCCAAACCAGAAACCAGAGCAACCACTGCTGCCTGTGCCCGCTCTCCTGCATGAACTGAAGGCTCCGGGAGTTCAGCCACAGTCTGCTCCAGCAGATTCTGCTGAGGAATTAGATGGACAAGCCCCGCTTCCAGCATCTGTATCAGAACATCCTGAGAAAGAAATTCAGAAGTCAGCAATTCAGTCTTACTTACCTAGTGCTCCATCAGCTAAATCCAAATATTCTGTGCTATCCAAAGCAACAGAGGAGGACGTGACTCCTCCATCATCCAAAACTGCACAGTCAGAAGCTGAGCGTGTGTTTTTGTCACAATCTGGAAATGAAGCAGAGCAACAAGAAACTGAGTGTCAGTTATCAGCAACTGCAAAGTCAGAAACTGAGTACTCAGATTTGCCCTATTCTGCTAAAAAAAGAGAGAAACAAAAGATCTCAGTACCAGAGACCCCAGATGTTCATTTAGAGAAGCAAAGTATTCAGACTCATTCTATAACCACCCAGCCAGAGTCTGAAAAACAAGACTCTCCCTGCTTCATTCAGGAAGCAGAGGAGCAAGAAATTGAACCATATTCACATATTCCTGAAAAAACAGAGTCGAAATATTTTGGCATTTCATATCCTGTTCATGCAGAAACAGAGGAAATTCAGAACTCTTCACCTGTAAGTACAGCAGTAGCTTTGGATCACCCCGTGAGTTTCCCTGCACAAAGTGAGCAAACAGATGGTGTGCAACTGGAAACAGCCCAGGCAGGTTCCTCATGCACTGCTGAAGTAAATGAGGAATCAGAGAGACCACAGATGGAGCCAGAGCATCCGGACTTCTCTTTTTCCAGAGAAGAAATAGAGGAATCAGAGAGTGCACAGCTGGAGATGGAACATCCAGACTTCTCATATTCCAGGGAGAAAACGGAGGACTTGGAGAGTGCACAGCCAGATTTGGAGTGTCCAGATTTCTCATATTCCACAGAAGAACTGATGGAATCGGAAAATGTGCAACTGGAGATGAAGCATCCAGATTTCTCCTATTCCAAGGAAGAAATGGTTGAATCGGAGGGTGCACAGCTGGAGACAGAACATCTAGATTTCTCATATTCCAGGGAAGAAATGGTTGAATTAGAGGGTGCACAGCCAGAGATGGAGCATCTGGATTCTTCATATTCCAGAGAAGAAAGAGAGGAATTGGAGAGAGCACAACTGCAGAGAGATCAGCCAGACTTTTCCTTCTCAGGGAAACAAAAAGAGGAATTGCAAAGCGCTCCACTGGGGATGGAACGTGCAAATTTCTTGCATTCCAGGGAAGAAATAGTGGCATCAGAGAGGGCACAGCTGGACACAGAGCATGTAGATGTTTCCTTTCCCAGGGAAGAAAGGGAGGAATTGCAGGGTGCACCACCGGGGAAAGAACATTCAGATTTCTCGCATTCCAAGGAAGAAATGGTAGAATGGGAGGATATGCAGCGGCACAGGGAGCATCCAGTTTCCTCATATGCAAGAGAAGAAATGGTGGAATTGGAGGATGCTCCTCTGGGGACAGAGCGTCCAGATTTTTCATCTTCTAGGGAAGAAATAGATAAATGGGAGAGTTCACAGGTTGGAGCTGGGCACGCGGACTATTCCAGGGAAGAAACAGAGGAACTGCAGAGTGCACCACTGGGGATGGAGCACATGGATTTCTCCTTTTCCAGGGAAGAAATGCTGGCATCAGAGCATTCACAGCTGGACACGGAGCATCCAACTTTCTCATGTCTCAGGGATGAGGTGGAATTGGTGAGTGTAGAACTGGACACAGAACATTCAGCTTTTTCAAGTTCCAGGGGAAAAGCAGAGGAATCAGGCAGTGCAAAGCTGGAGAAGGAGCATCCAGCTTTATTGTACTCCAGGAAAGAAACAGAGGAATCAGGCAGTGCACGGCTAGAGAAGGAGCATCCAGCTTCCCTATATTCCAGGGAAGAAATGGTGGAAGCAGAGAATACACAGGTGGAAACCAAACAAAAATCTGTTCCTTTGGAGCTGGAACATCCAAAGCTATCTTATTCTCACAAGGAAGCAAAGCAACAAGAAGCAGCACAGCTCATACTGGGTCCTTCACATTCATCAAGATCAATGGAAAAAGGAGAGAAAGGGAAGACTACTGGACCTGAATTGGTGTGTGCATCTGATGTACCTGATTCCACTGGAAGAGCTGAGACACAGCAAACTGGGTACCTGGGATCAGAACATTCAGATTTACCATGTCCTACAAATCAAAGAAAGCTGCAAAAAATGGCACAAGTAGATTTGGACAATTCTCATTTGTCAGATATTCCTGTCAAAGTAGAGCACCCACAGTCTGTGCAGCAGGTTTCACAGTATGGAGATGAGCTGTATTCCCTCGGCAAGGCAGGGGAAGGAGAAACTATTCAACTGCAGTCAGAGCATCTAGATTCTTCCTACTCTCCTGTGAAAGAAAGGCAACACAGAACTTCACAGCTGACCCCGCAACAAGCAGATGCATCATATTCCACAGGCAGAACAGACCAACAAGAAATGTTACAACCCAAGTCAGAACAAGCACATTCACCGTCTTCCTGTGGAGAAGCAGCACAAGAAGCTGTGCAACAAGATTTAGAAGGTCCTGAACTGTCACATGTCATTAGCAAAGCAGAGCAACACACAAAAGTGTCATTAGATTCAGAGAATCTTCCTGTGGCGTTTACTGCTGGAGAAGCAATGCGGGAAGGAATGGAGTCAGGATCTTCAGACTCCATGCGTCCCACCAGGAAAGCGAAGCCCTGGGAAGTGGCACCAGCAGAGCGGAAGCCTTCGCCTCCCTTCTCCTCCACTGCAGATGGTCAGCAGCAGGAAGGGACACCACTGCATTTGTCACAACCCACATTGCTCTCCTCTGGCAAAATGGAACAAAAAGTAGTGCGACAAGAGCTGGAACAACAGAAAACACCCCAGCACAAAGCTGCAGAAATGGGACTGGAACATTCAGATTTGCCAGAAACCTATGGGAAAGGAGAGCCCTGGGAAGTGGAGCAAATGGGTTTGGCCCAGTCATATTACTGTGACCAAGGAGGACCACAAGAAATGGCTCAACCAGAGCTAGGACATCTGCCTTTGTCATATTCTCATGGGCAAGGAGGAGAAATAGAGATGGAGCTAGAGTGTCCAGAATGGGCATTTTCCACAAGTACAGAAATGCAGGAGGAAATGATAGAGCAGAAATCAAAGCAGCCAGATTTTTCACACACTGCTGGCAAAATGGAGCTGCAAGAAATAATACCTCCAGAGCAGGAGCAAACATTTTTACCATTTTCTACTGAAAGAATGGCAGCACAGGAAATAGAAATGAGGCCAGAATATCCAGATTTGTCATGTTCCTTTGACAAAGCAGAACAAGAGATGTTGAGGCACCCAACTTTACCCTTTAGTTCAAAGCAACGCAGAAGTGCACCATTGAAAGTTGAACATCCAAGTTTTGCACCTGACATTGATGAAACAAAACCAGGAGACACTGTGCAGTGGGGATTAGGACACCCAGAGCTGTCATATTCTGTAGGAAAATCACAGCAAGAGTCAGAACTTCAAAGTTCACTAGAAACTCTGGATGAAGCAGCCCAAGATGAAGCTACGCAAGTGGAATCTAAATATCCAAAATTGTCATGTTCTGTTGGCCAGATAGACCAACAAGAAACTTCACCATTGAATTCAAAATATCCAGATTTATCGCATGCCAAAGAACAAGCCGCTGCTCTAGAGTCTGAGTCAAAGCACCAAGACTTGCCTAAAGTGACCAGGAAAAGGGCTCCACCAGCAACTGCAAAAACAGAATCAAAGCATCCCAGTTTGGCAAGCTCTGTTAGCAAAGCAGAGCAGGCAGAAATTGCACCACAGGAAATGAAACACCCTGATTTGTCACATTCCAGTGATGAACAAAACCAACAAGAAACGTTACCATCGGATGAGATGCATAGCGAGTTTCCTATTGACAAAGGAATGTGGCAGCAAAACACAAAACAACAGTTAGAGCAAACAAAGTTTTCATATTTTGCTGGCAAATCAGAGCAATTAAAACATGCCCAACAGGACTTGGAACAGCCAGATTTATCACTTCCCATTGATGAGCCAAACTATGAAATGGTCCAGTCAGAAATGGAACATGCTGATGTGATATATCCTCCTGACATAACAGAGGTGCAGCAAGAAGTGCAACTAGAATTAGAGCAAACAGATTTAACTTACCCCTTTGGAAAAACAGAACCCAAAACAGTGGAGCCAGAAATGGAACATCCCGATTCGGCACTTTCTGTGGGTGCAGTAGAAGAGGAGGACATGGCCCAGATAAAGTTGGGACAACCTGATATGTCTTATCCTGTTTCTGAAACAGGAGCACAGCAAACTGCACAGTTGAAATCCAAACGCCCAGGTCTAGCATATTTTACAGACCAAGTGCAGGAAAGCACCCAGCCGAGGGTGGCACAACCAGGAGTATCATATGCCCATGACAAAACAGGACAGTGTCCACCTACCCAACTGGAACTGGGCCAAGCACACTTGTCATCCTCCACTGATGAAGGAAGATGGCCAGAGAGGTCGCACATAGTCCTGGGGCACCCTGAGACAAGGCATTCTGTGAGGGCAGCAGAGCATCCACGGGCTGGCAAACTAGGAGGTCCAGACGTCTTATCTGATGGTGAAAAAGCAGAGCAGAAAGGAATGTCGGAACTAGAGCTGAAACACCCTGATCTGACATATTCCATTGATAAAACACAGCCACAAGTTGCTACGCAGCTGAGCTTAGGAAAGCCAGATCTCTTATCTTCGCCTAGGAAAGCAGAGCAACCACTTGCTGCTCAAGAGAAACTGGAGCAGTTGGGCTTTGTCCATTCTTTCAGCAAAGCTGCTCAGCAAGAGAAAGCCCAGCTAGGACTGGAACATCCACAGTCGTCTTATTCTGTTCACAAAGCAGAACAAAAAGCTGCATATGAAAAATTAAACCGCTCAGATTTATCATATGCTATTGGCAAATTGGAGCAGCATGAAGTCATACAAACAGAAGGAGAACAAATGGATTTGTCATGGCCAATTGGTGAAATGCAGCAGCCACAAATTGCTCGGATGGATTTGGGATATCCAGATTTATCATGTTCCACTGGAACAGTACCGCAATGGGAAAAAGATCAACCAGAGCTGCAGCAGCCGGGAGCTTATTCATCATCTCATGACAAAGAACAGCAAAGGGAAAGGGCAGCAATGCACTCAGGTGACCCCGAGTTGCAGCACTCTGTTGAGGAAGCAGCAGGATTACGAACACCACAGGTGAAATCCGAATATGCAGATTTGTCATTGTCTGTGGACACAGCAGGACCTCATGAGATGACACAATCAGAGTTGAAAGAACATGATTTGTTGCATTCTTGTGTCAAAACAAAGGGATCACAGGCTGCCCCACTGGAGTCTGAATATCCAGACTTCTCGGATTCCTTGGGCAAAGTAGAGCATCCTGATTCGTCCTCTTCCATTAGTAAAGGAAAGCAAATTGCACGTCTGGAGTTCAGATTGGAGCCAATGTTGCCGTGTTCCCAAAGCAAAACAGAGCAGCCCAGCAGTGCCCAAATGGAAGTGAAAGCCCAGGATTTCTTGTATTCCCCTGACAGAATGGAGCAACAAGAAATGGCAGAACAAGTGTTGGAGCATCCTGATTTACCATATTCACAGGTGAACTTGGAACAACCAGTTTTATCCCATTCCCTTGGCAAAGAACAACAGGAACCTGCGCAATCAGCATCCCTGTATTCCCATGTTTCATACTCCATAGGGAAAGCAGAACAATTTCCAGGGAAACAGCCCAAATCAAGATGTCCAGATTTGTCATATTCTCTTGGCAAAGCAGAGACTCATGGAAAGAAACAACCAGAGTTACTGTATTCCTATGGTGAAATGGAGCAGCCACAGATGGAGTTGGAGCAAGCAGAGATGCCACTGTCTGCAGAAGAGGAGAGGAGGGAGGGCACACAACCTCAACTTCAATGTGCTGATTTGCAGTGCTCTCCTAGTGAAATGGAACAACCAGAAACTCCTTCTGGCTTTTATGCCTTTGGCAGCATCGAGGAGCAGGAAACTGCACAACCGGAGCCTGAACAATCAGATTTACCAAGTTCTACTGACAAAGCAGAACAGCGGGAAGCTGCCCTGCTGAGAGCAGGGCACTCAGAGAAGCAGGACTCTGAGATTGCTTCATCTCTAAGTACTCCTTTGGAAACTGAACAGCCAGATTTACCCTTTTATGCTGAGGAAACAGAGAGTCGGAAAATGCAATCTTATTCATCTCCTCCTGAGCAATCGGTGTCTGTTCCTTTAAGTGTTTCACACACTGTTTCTGAAATTAAAATGGGAGGAAGTCAGAAGTTTTCACCTGTAGCTGCAGGCCTGCCCCCCAAGCACTCAGATTTATCTTATACACACTGTAAAACACAACAGTCAGAACCGATACAACCTCCGACAGCTTTCTTTTTGGCAAAGAATAACAAAATTGATGTACATTCGGCTATGGCTGTACAGTCAGAAACTAAACCTGCAGTTTTAGCTGAAGCAGGGAGAGAGCAAACTCCACACTACTTTCACACAGCTACACAACTGGAATCTGAAAAATTAAGTCCATTGCATTCTATAGATAAAGCAGAAACCCTAGAAAATCAAGTTTATTTAACTGTACCTTCAGAACTGGAGTCTGAACCCTTAGTTCCATTCGATTCAGTTGATGAAACATATCAGGAAGAAAATCCATCTTATTCAAAAGCTGCCTCTGAATATTTGGTTCCTACCTACTCTCTTGCTGAAGAAGAAAAGCAAGACATGGAGCCATTTATTCCCCAAACAGCACAATCAGAGTATAAACATATAATTGCGCAACATGATGAAACAGAACTGCCACAAATTCCACTTTATTCATCTAAAAGAGCAAGATCAAAGAGTGCACAATCAGAGAGAATATCTCTAGAGCACGGAGCAGACCAAGGCAAGGAAGAGGCTCAAGATCGGTCATTGGACACAGAATATTTTTCATCAAAACAGCTAAGAATTCCCTCCAAATTTACTGCTGAACAGGATGAGCAAGAAATGCCACCTGATGTGCAGCAAGTGACAAAGGTGGTGACCGCAGAGTCAAAGGCAGCTGCTGTAGCAGACCAGCAGGCACTGTCATCAGATTCATTTGTGCCTGTTCATACGTTGCCTGAAAAGTCAATGTCACTGCTTTTTGCTGATGACGAAGAGAAACAAAATATTCCATTGTCTTTATCAGGCATAGTGGGCATGCTTGGAAAGCAATCAAAAATCATTTCGAGCAGCTATAATGAAGAAAAGGATAGGCACGAAACACAGCCGTACTTTACAGATCAAGAATTCACATCCTCAGAGCAACCAGGGGCTGGTACATCAGATCTTATTTATGGGAGTGTTACACACAAACCTCAGCGTTTTTCTGGTGAAGGGGGCAGCTTTTCTACAGCAGAGTTGAAGTCCATTAGCTGCATTTCTTCTGATGAAAAGCAGCATCCAGATGTTCCATTGTCTTCTTTTGGGCTAGCTAGCTGCCTCACAGGAGAGGTGAAAACTCACTCAGTTAGTTCAATAAGAGCTGCAGAAGTAGATAAGCAAGGAGCTCAGTTTTCTTCAAATGAAGCTTCTGATATTAGATCAAAACAAATCCCAGCTGAAAGTTGCAAAGAACTTACACTTCACAGTACTATGAAGAATAAGCTAGATATAAGCAGAGATTCTGATGAAGCGTCACATGAAATTTCCCACAGATTGTCCTCAGAAACTACTCACAGAATTGAAAGGCATGATTTACAATCTCCGGAAAGAGCTAATCCAGGTCCAGAAAAAGTTCCAAAGAAAGAAACTAGCATTGGAAACCCTACAGAAGTGGAAGCAGTGCAGTATCCGGATGTAGACAAAATACAGAAAGTGCCTGAGCATCACCTGGGAAGAAAAGAAGTAGAAATAGAGCATGTGAGAGCTGTAGAAGATAGCCAACACGCTCCAGAGCCAACTGAACAAAAAGATCTATTTAATATAATTTCAGAAGGTTATGAAATCCTGAATATTCATGCTCCCATGCATATTTCTTCTGTTGATGAAGAAGAAAGTCAACACATGCCTGATAAACTGGAATACTTGGAAACAAATCCTTTATTTAAGAGAAAATTAGCAGGTGATGGCCACAGAGCCTTAGCTTCTGGAGCAACAATAGAAACTTCAGAAAGCTCAGTACTGGAAAACCCTGGAAGCAAGAAGGACAAAGTAGAAGAATTGGTCAAAGATGCTACTACTGAGGAAACTGGAGAACCAGAAACAGATGAGTCCACATTGCCAGAAAATAAGAACGACACAGTGTTGGACCCTGATAACGGTATGGCTGATATGGATTATTTTGAAAAATATACCTTGATTGATGACAGATCTCCAATTAAGCCAACTTTTGAGAGACCAAGTTCTTTAGTTTCAGTGACAGAAAATCCTAATGAACTTGAAGAAGAAGACCCATCTTTTAAAGAAAGCTCTGAGGCAAATACTTTGGAAGAGGATTTTTCCTTACTTGAGGATCTGGATGAAGTCTTTTATGGTACCATAACAGGTGAAAGCACAGATTCTTATGCAAGTGTTTCAAAACTTCTACCAGCACAAAAATCAATTGAAATAAACAGTAAAAAAGTTACAAACATAGAAGATGAACGGAAGTCACCAGGGACCCCGCTCTTTGATTCAGAAGAAGGAGTGTTAGAGCGATCTCTGCTGTTCCCTACCAGTGTTGCTACAGTTAATCCAGAGCTCCTAGAGGAGCCGCCTGCTCTGTCATTTTTGTACAAGGACCTCTACTCAGAAGCAGTGGGAGTGAAGACAAAGGAGGAAACTCCTTCTGATGAGGAAAGTGGTAATTCTAATGCATCGTTTCCTAGTAGAAATTCAGACACGGATGATGGAACTGGAATATATTTTGAAAAATACATTCTTAAAGATGAAATTCCTGTTAAGGCCATAGACCAGCCTCCAAAGGATGAGATACCAGAATATCTACCTGTTAGTGGAGATATTTCAGATCAGAGCTTAGAGGATAAACACGAGCAGTGGCCTAGTGATGTTTCTGATATCAGAACTGATGTCCTGCCAGACTGGGGAGTTGTGGAGAGAGAAAAAGTACAGGTTGACAGTGACATTAAAGCAACAATTTGTAAACCAACCCATGCCATTCCTTTTGGAAGCCAAGTAAATCTTTTAGGTGCAAGAAGTGCTACCAGTGAGCAAAGAGAAGAGGAAAACATACCTGTAGAAACAACAGAAGAATTACCAGAAGCAGCTGCCCACCACGTGTATAGGCAAAGACTAGATTATCAGGGAGCTGCACATCAAGAAGCAGCCAATAAGCAGGAAGAACAACATGAAAAAGCAACTGTTCATCAAATGGAAAAATACATCCCACATGTGAGAACACCAGTTGAAGACAGTGAAGATGATCAATATGCCCAGGCAGATCTTCCACATGTCCCAAGCACTGAGCCAACAGAGAAGCCAGGCACGCAAAGAGAGGAGCAGCGCCCAGATATTTGTGAAGATCTTGCTGAGGCAATGGACTATGATGTGATTACTCAAGAGGAACTTCTACAAGATGAAATATCCTCTGAACTGGCACACGAGGAGCTATTATTTGAAGACAGGGACTCTTTTGAGCATATTGGTGACAGTTATGAATTCATTGAGGAGCCAGAGCAAAGAACACCTGCTGAACTTGAAGATTCAGGCTTTGTCGTGATGCATCCTGAAAAATCACCGACAAACATACCTCAAGTTGAGAGTCCCCAAAGAGAACTGAAGAAAGCACAAGTAGATACCTATTGTTACCACTGCAAATCTCCGATATCTGCTATTGATAAGCTTTTTGGAGAACACAAAGACCACGAAGTCACAACACTAAGTGCTGCTGCTACCAAGATGAAGGTAAGAATTAATTTTGGTGGAGGGAAGGAAATGCTGAAGCCAATTTCTCTAGGCCTCTTCTCTGGAACGACCCTCAGAGAATAGTGTAGAGGCTAAGTCATAACCATATAAAATGAAAAATTCTCCTAAAAGTCTATGAGAGATCTGGAAGGGAGAATTTTAAATCATTAAGATATTATCTAGAGTCATAAGCTTGCCAAACTGATGTTTTTATTTATTCAGATGTTTGAATGACCTTATTTAAATGTTGCTTTTATGGATTTTCCAGTTTTTATCCTTCTTGTTTGCATGAGTTTGTCGGATGTGTATGTATAGAGGGAGAAACGGGAGGAGTGATGCCTGCTTGTATGAAAAAGATGTATGAAAAGTGAGAATTTCAGTGATAGCAGCTCGTTACACCTAAGAAACTACAGAAACTTCCATATGCTGGTACCAGCAGCACCATAAAGTGTTTCCCAGCCCAGTTATGTGTTGCTTGCTTAGAGATATCAGAGTATTTACACAATTTATACTACACCATTTTGTTATAACTGTCCTCATTTTCGATTCAGTTTCTGACCAGCTTCCCCTCACAGTATTTTAACTGAAATGCAGGTAGGGCTTTAACACTTCCTCCTACTTCCCACTGTTTTTAGGCCACTGTTTTTAGACCCACCATTCTAAAAGGTAGGTATAAATGCTTCTGATTTCAGCAGAGTATGCCTTCAGTAGCAATACTGGTGAAAATGTTTTCACTTCTGCAGAAGCTCATTTTTTATTAAATTGCTTTTCTGCTTATAAAAAAGACACACTTGTCAAATCTAACATGCCATGTCCAAATTGATCACGCGTCTTCCTTAATTTTCAGCTATTCAGTGTCACCCCAGTGTCAGAAAGGTGAGCTTTTTTCTGGCATATGTACAGTTAGCAGTAATGGAGAGTCTGTAATTTCATTGCAGTTCTGGAAGGGCTTGTGCCACTGATTTTTATATTTTTATGTTAACTCATAGGTAAGAAACAAACATTACAAGTAGAAGCAATTAGGTACCACTTGCAATTATCACTCTTTACGACGTATTTCCGTGACGTGCAGAGACGTGTGAGAATGTTGCCCTGTTTTGTGCATGGCCATTCACATTTCACTCCGAGGTGCTAATCAGCCACCAGGAAATCAGCAATAAAGTCACAGATCCCAGCCCTCCCTCGGCTGTAACCACATTGCAGCAAGCAGAGTTAAAGCACAAATAAACGTCCCAGCAGATCATTCCCTGGCTGTGGAACGTGGACATGCAGCCAATATTTAAATCTAGCCCAATGCAGGCTTGGCTTCATGTGATTTCCAGCGCTCAAGGCTCCGGTTACTCTAAGACAGCGTTTGTCTGTTTCTTGTTACCTCTGTATAATTACTGAGAAAACATTAACCTGGCAAAACACTTGTCACCTGCATCTTCACTTCAGCAGCACTGTTTCACCACGAGAAGCGAGCTATGGATGGCATCTGTCAGATTATTTTGGTTATCTCGACAAACAGAAGGTCGTCTCTGCATTTCAGTTGTAGGGCCTGAATATTTATAAATGCAGCCTTCAGTTTTACAGCCCAATATGACATTTATAATTAATGGAAAACCACGCGCTAGTTTTCAGGCAGATCTAGCTGTAGATGTTTGCCATGATAGGAAGATGTTACCAAAGCAAGTCGACTTCATGCTGTTAGTCAACTTTATGCTAATTAGCCAGTCAATTTATGCTGGCTAATTAAAGTATTTTTATAAATTATAAATTACACCTGAGTAGATGCTAAGCTTGTTTTCCTGAAAGGTCAAGAAGGACTGCGGCCTAAGAGAGATTTCTGTGTCATCTCTGGCACTTGTTGTTCCCAGGACCACTTTTGTTTGCATTTCTAGTTCAACCAGTGATTTTGATATGAGCTTTGGCTGTCAGCATTGCTAGTTCAAGCAATGGTTTATAAGAATCATTGTTAAAATTATGCTAAGAAAAATATATTTGTAAGCTACAAAACTGATCATTTCCTGCATCTTGCATTCCTCAGACCTTCATGAGGCTTTGAGTACCCTCAACGTCCAGCATAGCTGTTTTGAAAGTCGTAGTGTTCAATAACTTGCATGAGTACTTGGTACCCTATTAAATTAAGAAACTGAGCTTTTTTTTTTTTTTTTTTTCCATTGGTTGGTTTGGTTTGCTGTGGAAGCAATGTTTGTGAATGTTCTTGTTGTTCTTTCTGCGCTTGTCTTTGTAGCCAGGGAGATGCTTGAACTTAATTTAGCAGTTATTTCAATAGCAGCTTCAGAACAGAAGTATTCATCTCAAATATGTTTTATACAAAAAAAAAAAAAAAAAAAAGAAGTAACATGCTCATGTACTGAAACTTTTACAATTTCAGGATCAATTAGATGAATTGCTAATGGCATTGGAAGAAAAGTCAATGAAGATTGAAAAGTTCGTGAGTGAAATTGAATCTCTATTTAACTCTGTTGAGGTAAGTCCTGTGTTTTGTCACACTACTTTCCCTCACAAAATTGCTTCTAAGATATGTTTCCTTTGTTCCGTAGTGTCATTGTTTCCACTAAAATAAGTTGTTTCTCCAGTCCTTAACCTGACTTCTCCTGTCTCAAGTAGTTAACCTGAGGGGAATGAAGATGCAAAAGTTTGCTTTTCTATATCTTACTGCTATGTGGAATATGATGCTGGAGGAGTCCTGGACTTCCCTATATTTTGTTTGCATTTATAAAGAGCTTACACTGTGTTTATATCTATCTAAAGTCCTATGTTAAGCCCAAATATGTTATTTAATGTCCTGAAGTTCTTAAACCTTGAGGACTCTCTTAACTTCAGCTAGAACTATGGATTCATAGGTATTTTGTAATCAGACTCCCTGTCTCTATGCTTAGCTAAAGAAGTTTAATTCTAAAAACACAATACAAAAATCTGGCATTGTTTTTAATATATTTCACTAGCATTATTTCTCCTAGGTGAGCTTGCTTGCAGAAGTAAAATTCTCTTATTGTCAAGAGGACAGCAGGAGTCTGGTAGAGGGCTCACATATGGGTAGTTGAGAGTTCCAGTGTATTCATTAGCTGCTATAATTTTAGTCTGTGGCCCAGTTTGCATCTGCTTTTATTTTCCAGGAAAACTCTAAGAAAAATGCAGAGTTACTGGAAAAGCAGAATGAAGACATGATTAAGAAAGTGGTAGCACAATATGATGAGAAATCAGAGAATTTTGAGGAAGTGAAGAAGATGAAAATGGAATACCTGTATGAACAGATGGTTAACTTTCAACAGACTGTTGATTCAGCAAAAGAAACCTTGGAGACAACAGTGAAGGAAATAGAAGAACTTGATGGATTTGTTTTCTTAAATGTAAGTATAAGTGACTGCAGTGCAATTTTTATAATACTAGTAAGGAAAGCATTTATACAATGCTTAAGCTGAGTTGCATATCTTTTCTAAGGACAGCTAAATCCTGCAGGCTCAGTTATTCCATTCTGAAACTGCTATTTGGGTGGCTTTTGTCATGCGAGTGCTCAGGGAACTGCAAAGGTGCTGCATGCGATGGGAACGTGCACTATGCCATCTGCTAGGCTTTCTGAGGGACTTCTTGAAAATTTGTCTAGAATTAACCATTCAAGAATGTAAGAAAGAAAACTGAAACAAGTAAGTGTCCTTGCAAATTATGCACATTGGAGGATAAGGTTTTCGTGGGCTTTTTCTTTGTTTTGTTTTGAATGAGCAGACACTAAATGTAATTATGCACTTAGATTGTTGAGAAGAAACTGAAAGTTTACTACTGACAAATTTTGAAATGGGCTAGATTTAGGAATGTGCATGCAGCATGCATGTCTGTAATGGTCTTTTCCTGATTTAGAAAACATCTCTTGTGAGTCTGCATGACTCAAGTGACCTGACTGACAAAATCCTCAGTCACTTTTAGCCTGTGCTTGGTTTTACTCTTATAGGTTAAATATTAATGGCTGTGGCTCCAATATAATTCCTGTATATAGATATATATGGCTCCAATATAATGGCTCCAATATAATTCCTGTGCCGCAAAAATTGTTTATAATTCAGTTGTGGCACTTCCTTTTCCTTAGAAGTGTATCAGCAATTCTGAAAGGGATGGCATTTCCAGGACAAGTCTTTTTCCATTATGGAATTAGTCAGGAGTTTGGAAACCACAGAAATTCTCCTGGGACTTCTTCCTGAGAAATGAAGGATTTGCCTTACTGTTTAAAGTAAATTTGTAACATTCATACAAAATAGCTCCCAAAGCAGAAGTTCCCAGCTCATGTATCAGCAGTTGCAGAAGCAGTGAGCAGTCTTTGGCATTCCCCACTCTTATGAGTTCCCCGAGGATTTAGTGTCCTTTAGCCAAGTGAATGCCTTGGGCGATGGGCTATTTTGGGATGGGTGAAAAATATATCATATTTTCCATAACTTCACTAGGTAATGGAGCAGTCCTTTTGCAAAAAGAAATCTCTGTAATCTTTTAATCTCTCTTTTGTTTTTCTCTTTTTTAATTTGATGGGGGAAGGAGGGATATAAAGTTTGGAATTGGGATTGAAAAGTGTCCTTGATGCACAGATTATTTCCGTCTGTAACAGCACCTGACTATACACCAGTCTTCATAGCTAGATATTGCATATTGACCCCTCAGGAGTTTCAAGTCAAATATAGACTTTAATTGCTGAGTCGGGGCTTTCAAGTGGAATGTTCTTAAGGAACCGAATTCTTTGCTGGCATGAAGGAGCAGAATCCCAGCCAGTATTAAGTCAATGAAGTTGTATGTGTTTTATGTCTGTGGAGAGTTGTTAGATGAGTGGCTCTTCAGTATTTTCAGGCTTTTAAAAGCTGTTAATACATTTCTCTTTTTTTCCTTCCTTAGTCATCTAAAGAACTGAATAAAAGGTATATGAAGTAGTCATTAAGTGCCCTGTAGTGAGTACTAGGCCTTGCTTGCTGGATGTTTTGTTTACTATTTTCAAGCTTTGAAATCTCAATGCTAGTATTGGTAACTACTTCTACAAACCTTGCAAATAAAACTAAGGGAAGAAGTTTTGTGTTTTTCACAGCAGCTGACTGGTTTGAAGTGGTTTGCATGTGTTCTGTAATGTTTCACTTAAACAGTGTTAAACAGTAAATGTCAACTCAACTTTAAGTTTCTAGAGATGTTCTTAAGCAGGTGATCTTGGTAGAACCCCGTTGGCAGTGCCAGACTCAGGACGTGTCAGGGGGCTCCTACCTCCCACGGCTGCATCCTGCCCCAGCTGCACAGAGATGCACTCGGACACAGCTCTCTGCCACGCACGGCTTTCCTCTCAAGAGCCCTGGATCAGGGAAATGCTCAATTGCAAGCTCCTCTTTAACCCATAGTTTTTAGGGGGTGATCTATGAACCCTCAGCTCGGCTAGCTCTAGCTCCTCCTACACTAGCACCCACACAGTGGGAAATCCTGCCTGGTGCCTCCGTCCGCTGTCCTTGCCTGCGGCACCCGGGTGCTGCGTACCGGGCACAGCGCGTGGACACCGACGCCTGCTGATGGATGGGGTGCAGAAATGACCGCGGGTCCCAGCACGAGTCAGGTTACAGCTCCTGAGAGCTGGTGCCAAACACCCTTTCCTGGCTCCCACCGCCTTGCAGCATTAGGGCTGTCAAGTTGGGCTTCCCTGTTGAGCGCCAAGGTGGGGCACTCTGGCCACATACCTGCATGTAGTTTGCTGGATAATAATGTGGTTGTTACAGCACAGGGATAAACAACAAAACAGTTTGCCAGATTTTCTACACACTTGATCTTTATTTATTAACTTACACACTAAACTTGGTGTTTGTTCTGTTTTGTGCATGGTTTTGCTTATTACTTTGTTTTGATAATAGCTGATTTTCTAAAAAAGGGTTAAGAGCAAGGTCTATACAACCATGCATGTCTTTCTAAGCAAAATGTATTTGTATCTGTTGTGCTTTGTTAAGCCTGTACCTACTTACCTGCTTCAGTGATTAAAAAAAGACAGGAGGTGAAATTCAGTTGCTTTGAAAAAATAATCTGCAGCTGCTTTACACTGGAGTCAGCTGCCTGAGCTCTAACGTTTGTAGCCTTTAAAGGCATTGTGTTAATAAGTAAGTCCAAACCACTCTATTCTTGGGAAATTTTAGATATTCTTGGGATTTTAAACTTCAGATCCTCACATTAGCATGGATCAAACATGCAGATTGTGTTCACTCTTACTATACTCCTTATGTAAAATCATAATGTGTGCTAAATATTCAAAATTAGGGAAATAGCTTGTTCCTTGCATGTTGTCCTCAAGTTCTTGGGAAATATTTAGGGACGTGTATGTCACGTGTGCTTTGCTTTCGGCCCTTGGACACTATACAACACCACAGGGATTTATATGAGTATGAATTTTGTTTGTTTATTTATTGGTTTTCTCCCAAATAGGTTACTTTCCGCAATGGATACTACTCTCTCCTTGGAAAAGGTGCCCAGTTCATTTTCACTTTTTGAACACTATGCAGACAGCCCGGGAAAGAGTGACCAGCACCCCTTAAATCGCGTGGCTGGTAAGAATCTCTGAGTACTTTCTTTGTAAAAGCTCAGGTTTTGGCTTTTTAGCCAACAGCGTTTTAATGCTTTGGAAATTTTAGAAAGCTAAAAACAGAATCTATTTGAGAAGTATAAATTTGCAAACCATATAATTAGCAATCAGAGTTGAATGTAAAATGAAGTCTAATTGTGCACAAGTGTTTGGCTTGTAGTAGGACATTAAGATGAGTAGCAAAGGGGAAAGTGCTAAAATGTGGGATTCTTGCATCATTTTAAATATCTGTTCCTCAGAATGACAGCAAGTCTGTTGCTGGAGGCTGGAGAAGCTGCTTTTTGCTCATGGGCAGGGAGAGATGAGGCAGTGGAGGAGTCTGCTGAGATGTTTGTTCAAGGAGGCCCCATGGAGCTGGGATGGGCAGCAGAGCTGGGGTGGGGAGGAGGTCATGGTGCTCCTGCTGCCTGAGTCTGGATACCCTCAACCCCTTCCCAGTCAGCTGCTCTAATGAGTAGATTCTCATCAGGGAAGAATTCTGCAGATTCCCTGGAGTCCAATACAATCTGAGGGCATGCCGTGGTCTCCATGTGGAGCATCCCTCTCCTCCACACAGCCATTTATTAGATTTATAGGTACCAAATATCTCATTACCTTTACTTCCTTGACAAATTTGCTTGAATTTCCCTGAGGACTTCAGAACTTAGCCAGTGAGGTTGGGTTGACATTCATATATGCAGCATTATCTGAGCTTCATTTCTTTAGGAAGTCAGACTAAGAGATCTTTGTAACCTGCTCTCAGCTGCTGTAAATAGAGTGATGAAAATGTGCTCTCTATCCTGGCTTGATTCTCTCTTGCAGCCTCATGGGTCCTGTGAGTCCCAATCTTTCCTTCTGTACTGTTACCTTCTGGCAAGGTCATACCCATGAACAGATTTGTTTTGTCTTTCTATATTTTCTTTTCCTATGGGTCTTTTCAAGGTATTTCCTGCCCATATTCCTGAGATTTGCTTTTGGTTTGATTCACATGAGCTACTGTGTTTGCTGAACACCAAATGGCTCCAGACTCTTTGCTTTGACAAACTAGAGATGAATGAGGTTGTCCACAAGCATCTGACCTTCAAAGCTCCCCATCCTTTATACATTCTTCTCTTTTCTTTTTAAAATACATGATTTTCATTCTTCTCTTCCCCTACCTAGGGGATAATTGCTGTTGTGGTTTTGATTTTTATTTTGGTAAGCAGTAAAGTAAAAATACATACTTTATCAAGTTTCTGCCTTTTTCCTGAAAGAAAGTAGAGGTGAATGCGTACAAAAACCTTTATTTGAAATTGAAAACCTTGAGGACATCATTTATCAAATACTGGAGGCAAATGTCAAGCTTCCTCAGAATTTGTTTTGACTGAAACCAGTTGATGAAATAGAGGTGAATTTGCCACCCTTCCACAATCCAAATATTCTTTCTGAAGAGAACAATTCAACTTCTTGTTATAAATTACTTCTTTCTAAAAGTTTATTTATTATTATGCAAAAGAAAATTAGAATTTTTTTTTCAGTGTTTCCAAAATGAATTTGATGTATAGTATTTTTTTCAGAAGTCCTTTTGAAATCTGGAATAATAGATTTCGCAATTATGGGATTTCTGTAATCATAAAAAACAACTTCACAGAAAAAAAAGGTTTTACCCACTGGATCCATTGAAAGAAAGTCCTTTTCTGAAAATGATCAGTTTTTAAATTGTTCAAATCCAGATACAGTTAAGAGACAAAATCTATCTTGTTTTTAGCAATGAAAAGGATTTTTTCAATGAGAAGCAAATGTAATGCTACTGTACTTGAAGTTGTCTGTATAAATTGTAAGGAAACAGCCAGCATCTGCATTTGCCTTGTTCATGCCACAGGGAATCATCATCATGACTGTGAAGACAACTGAAAAAAGAAAAGCTTTCTGATCAAAGCCTACCAAAACGCACATGATGTGGAAATTTACTGGGTGGTGAGAGAGAACCATGTTTTTGTTCCCTGCAATCACTTTAACAATGGACAGGGAGAGATGCATGGGGTTGCTTCTTTCTTTCCACTCCTTGGATGGATCTGTGCAGGTCAGAAGGCAGAGACTATTCGGTTTATGAGGAGTTTAGGGGGTACATTATTGAGGAATGTGCGTGGGGTGTCTGATGAGCTTAGGCTTCTTTGGCCAAAGCAGAGCTTGGGATCTCCTGCCCGTGCAGGTCCCTGCCTCATCTGAGTCTACAGGGACAGCTGCTGTTCTGGCAGGAGCCCCATCCCTGAACCTGCAGCGTGAATCCACCTCTGCACATGGTGGACCTGCTCCCCAGAGCCTCTGCTCCGGCTGTGAGAGTCCAAGTATGAGAAGTCTGTGCTTCCTTTTCCTACCTCTTTTCACAGCCCCGATGTGGCCAAGGTTTAAGTGGATCTGACAAACTATTTTCCCCAGTGTGGTGGTTCCTTTTCCTGACCACCTCTCTGGGGATCGGTTACATTTGCATCTGCTGGAGACTCTCTTCTTCTGCAGGCTCCCCCTCTCACCAGTGAGACATCTTACATTATTTGCTATGAGCAGGGAGAAGGAATAAGCTCCTTTCCTCAGGAGCCACTCCTGGACTCCACCTTTGTCTTCATCTACCTACACTTCATAGCATCCAGCCTGGGCACCTGGCTAAATCTTGTGATTCAAGATTATTTCATCAAGCTGCATCATTACTGCATCTTATTTGGACAGGGATGTGAGGGGAATGGGCAATTAGAATCCCATACTGAGCATTTAGGTTTTGTCTTTCCTAGTTTATATGAACATACTGCTCAAAAACTGCAGTGGTGTTGACTGATTGTCATCTCAAGTATTGGTAGTTGAGTGAAAATAAGGATTCTGGTTGTCTCCCAATTAACATGTAGCTAATTTGGCTCAAAATATAGGATTGTTAATAACAACTAAAGATTTTTTTTTTCTTTCAGTTCCACAGACTCCAACTCTGATAGCTCAAGAACCAAACTCGGCCACGAGTACCTCCATCGCAGTCTACTGGACTGTGCACGAAGGGGATGCCATCGACTGCTTCCAGGTCTACTGTATGGAGGAGCCTCAAGCTAGCAGAGACCAAAGCGGTGTGTCCTCTCACCTGTGTGACTGCAGCAGTCCTTGCTGCTGTGATCTTATTAAGGGCAGAGGCTGTTCTGTAGGGCAGGTGCACGCAGCTGAGTGATAAGGGGGCTGTGAAGAAATTCTGCATAGGACTAAGGACAGGTAGCTGAGGAGGAGAACATAAGCTGGATGCCATTCCTTCTCCCCTTCCTCCTTTCCCAAAATAAAAGGTAAATATTTTGGTCCAAAAAGTGCAGGATGGATCCTTGCAGAGAGGCAGCAACATCTCTATTTAGAAACTTTATGGAAGCGGCCCAACTGTCAGAATGTCCCTATAGCACTGTTGGTACTTACAGGAATCAGACAGAGCTCCCAAAAGGAAGGGCCTGATTAGGAATTTGGGGTCCTGCATATACTTTGGAAATGTGTCCTAATAAACTAGGACAAGAAAGGATAATCAGAAATGCAGTATTTCTACATGCGGTTTCAGTGTCATATAAAAATGACATTAAGATATTTTAATTCTTAAATATGGAAATTGAGAAAAGAGGATTTGAAATGTTTGTTCATTTGAAAGCTTAAGCTAATCATAGAATCACTTAAAGCACCTGGGTTCTGCTTAAATGTGTGTATGTGCCTGTGCACTGAAGGATGCATCGGACAAATTCCATCATGAGAAATTACGTTCTGGAGAGGTGAAAACAGAGTTGACAACTCTTGATTGCATGTCCCAAATTTGCAGCCTATCATTCTGAAGACTACTTGTGGGATTTGAGGGCACCGAACTCAAGGGCAGATCAAAAACTTTCTATCCAAACTGATTTTAAGAAAAATATTGAGTAATTCACTGGATAGTTACAACTTCTGTATTTTCAGTTAGCTCTTTTTTAGATATTAGTTGGCAGGAGAAATCATAGGCCATGCAAATGAAGTGCATGAGCATCATGGCCTGGGTGTGTGTATGTGTTTCTTGTAGCTTTGGTGGAAGAATATAGAGTGACGGTGAAAGAGAGCCACTGCATTCTGGAGGACCTGGAGCCAGATCGCTGCTACAGTGTGTGGGTCATGGCTGTGAACTGCACGGGATGTAGCTTACCCAGTGAAAAATCCATTTTTCAAACAGGTATGTATATATTTTGGCATTTGATTGTTATAGGTTTCAGATTCTTTACAAATTCTAGGTCATACTGTTAGTGAAACAGAAGAAGCTCTTTCATTTAGTCCATCTAGCAGATCATAGGCAGCTTATAATAATGTTTGCCTTTTTGTGAAAAGACAGCAGTAAAATTGTTCTTAGGATGAAAGTTAAAAGTACTCAGATGTGAAGACATTTTAAATCCCAGACCTCATGCCAGGGGCAATGGAAGGCACGTTACCAATTTTCCTTATGTGCCAGGATGCTGTGGGGCAGCTTCAGGAAAGCCATCCGACTGCTCCGTGCTGTCGCCTTGCCTTGGGAAGATATGGGAGATCACTGCATTTTTTGCCTCTCTGCCATCCTTCCAAACACATCTGTGTTGCCTTGATTTAAATCGTGAGCTTTTCATGGAAGGCCTGCTTTAGAGCCGGTCCATGCAGCGTCTGGCTCAGTGGGGCACAAATCTCAGGTGTGGCTGAGAGGCTCTGCTGCTGTTTAAGTGGTATAAATGATGATGAGAACTGCTTAGGAGCTTCACTTGAGTGATTAAATTTTTCTGAGATTTAATTTCTTAAATAATTTGTATTGGCACAACTGTTGCATCTTGAATTATGAGTAGGGTGAAGTATCCTGTGGTCTAGACATTGGCAGAGGCCTCTTGTGAGATAATTTTTTTTAGTGCTGCAGAGTAAAAACCATCATCAATTTCATGAATTTACAAAACATGGACAAGGATGTTTAGCAATTTCATAGTGAAGTAATTCCATATTGCACCGAGAATAGTGCTGAAATCATTTGACAGCAAGTTATCTTCAAATCTTTTGCTCAGTTCACTGGACATCATATTTTTGGGTAATCCTCTTTGATGTTCAATTTGTAGTTCATATTTTTAGCAAATAAGATTTTCTAAAAAACTCAAAGCAGAAATTCTGATTTTTCTCTATGAAAAACGAAGAGCTTAATGTAAGAAATCCTCTCAAATGGTCAAATAATAAGTAATTTCTAACATATAAATAGTTTTAAAAGGGCTCTCACCTCTCTGAAATCATTATTTTTAATTTGGCCTCATATCCACTGTTCTTTTCCTCAAAATTCAAGCCTTCCAAAGGGGTTAATTTCTCAGAGTCTTTCTTTTGTCTTGGCCTCTTTCTTTAGGAAAATAAGCAAGCTAGTACAAATTAAACTCAAAACACACTCTCTGTCAAGCTGCCAGGTAGATTTGTGGGAACATTGCTGATGGACTGACAAAACTGTTGTGTCCTCTTGACACCAAAGGTGGAAAGATGAGTAGTAGTGACCGAAACCAGTTCTTCAGTATGTTGCTGAAGAGCCCAGCTGTTTTTGTTATTAAACTAGAATACTCTGATTCTTCAAGTAACCAAATTACTAATATTTAAGAACTCAGAAGAAATAATTTACAGAGTTTATTTTCAGTATTTCACTGAAAAAAATAGTACATACAAACAAATGCTTTGCTGATGTATTCAGTTATGGTCTGTATATACATTGCTAGTGGACTGAAGTTGGATCTTTTCCTGGTGTTGGGACCTTTGCCCATAGGAATGCCACTGAGCAGATGTGATGCTCCCCCAGCACCAGCAGTGAGTGGGGACCATGCTGGTTGCCCAGACAAACTCTGTGGGCACTCTCATCAGCTTGGGTGTTTTCTTTTCCAATAATAAGAAATTATTTGTACTGCAACACAGAATGTAATTTGAAGGTTGGTTGCAAATCTGTAAGGTTACCTAGGCTAATTTCTGTGTTTGTAGGCATCCTATTTGAAGCCTGATTTCTTTAAAACCAAAATAACTTCCTTTGGCCTTTTATTTTAATCCGTCACATTTATTCTAAGAATTGAGTTAAGAATGGGCAGTTAAAGCTGTCCATATGAGTGTCAACAACAGATTGTAAGAGGGTCATGCATGTTGCTCTTCCCTGGGAAGAGATAAATCATGTGAATATAACATCCATTTTCAGGCTACAATGCTGTTTCACACAATAGCTTTTGATTGCTTGCATTCAGTGTGCTATTTTACATTCATTTGCTATCTTTGTGGTTGGGCCTGTAGTTCTCAAACTGAGGCTTTAAAAAGGAGAAATTATAGGTCCAAATTTTAGTATGTGCTTTGCAAAAATGTAGGAGACATAATTAAGCAGCAAGTCATCGTTTCAGCCCAGCTTCTGCAGCATCGCGTTTGCTTCTGCTGCAGTTCACGCAGGGACTGCCGGGGATGGGAGGGAGCTAATCTGGGGTAGCTGCACCGAGCCCGCTTCTCAGCTCTGTTCCTTGAAACAGGGCAGAAATGGGCAAACGTGCTCAGGGAGGGGCAGAAAAATCTGCACAGGTAGACTAAGTATGGGCAGAATGGCACGAATGCACGCAGCGACGCTTCTGGCATGTTTCTTTTCATCCCTAACATTGCCCTCCGCCTTTGAAGCGCGGAGGAGGACGGCTCTGACCCCCAAATAAGCCAGGTGTCCTTGTGTCCGCAGCGCCCGCCGTGCCCGTGCTGAGGGCCGAGGAGAGCAGCGTGTGCTGGGACACGGCCACGGTGCGCTGGCGCGCCAGCCCGCGCGCGCCGGCCTCCTTCACGCTGGAGTACTGCCCGCAGTATTCGCCCGAGGGAGAGGGCCTCAGGTGAGTGCCGGGAATCTGCTTCCGTGCGCTGATGGCTTTGGATGCCAAATACTAATCCATGAGCTTAAGCTGAGAGGCATAGAAATGCTTTCTTCTTATTCTGCATAACCAGGCAATGCCTGGCACTTGGGGCTGAAGCTTTGAAGATTTTGTGCAGTCTCTGATCAACCAAAAGCTGCAAGGTTGTGCTCTCCAGAGAGAAATCCCACCTCTATAGCTGCCACAACCCCTGGCAGTGCAGGGGCAGCACGCAGTGGGGTGGGATGAAATGGGAGAGCCTTCACCCTCCTTGCCCTCTTCTTCCTGGGAGCAAGACAGGAGCAAGCCTGTTACATAATGTGAGCGATAGCAGAGACTCTCCTGCCATCGATCTGGGCAGAGCCTGTGCCAGGCACAGCTGAGCCTTGGGAGGGGAAAAGAACATCAAGGAATCTCTGGCTGTTGATGACCATGGGTAGCGCTGAAGAAGTGAGGGAAGCTCAGGGAGTGGAGGTCAGTGGGAACATCAGGCCGATTTCTGCCTGTCCCTGACCCAGAAGACACTATCAAAGGTCTTTTTTCCCTCATGCAGCCCAGTTCATCTGACCTTAGCAGAAACATGATAGCTAAGGAAGAGCTCTACCCCTCACGGTCAAAGCTAGTTAAGATGTACTGAAGGGTTCACAAGCTTCTAGTAGGTGTTTGTGACAGTGCAACAGTGCGAGCCTTGCTCCCTGCAAAAGCCGGTGAGAAACCGAAATAAAGAACTTGTGCAGGCTCAGGAGAGTTTTTTCACTCTGCACCAGCATGTTGTGCTAATGCAGACAAGAGGAGGGGGCCTTGCACAGCTCTTCTGCTCTCTAAGGACAGCTCTGATATGCTCCTTTTCATACATGTTTTATGAGGCCATCAGGTCACTGTCAAGCTGCCAAAGTTGCTGTCAGTCAGGGACAGTGTAGCTGCTCCCAAACCCTGTGCTGGGTGTTTGCACTTAAGTTTATTTGTTGTTAATTGAGATTGCTTCTTCCCAAATCCGAGAGAGAAAATGTGCTGCTTTCTGCAGTCTGTGAGTGAAGTGACATTAACACCAGGCAGTTTGCTTGTATGAAGATGACTGTCAGATAGAGATCGCTGTCAGAAAGTCACCCATTTTCTTCTCCAAAGGAGCTGGGCAAAACCAAAAATGTTTATAACTGTACTGAGACACATTTGACTTTTCTGGCCTCCCTGTGGGTAGAACACAGCTTTTTACTGTGAAAAGTGTGAAAAATTCCGACAGGACAAAATTATGAATTTTCTCAGAGTTGCGTAGGTAGAAATCTCTGTATCTGCAGAAGGTTTCTCAACCCCTTTTTTAGTGCCAAAGATCGCCTCTTACCACTTGTTTTCCCTCAAAACAATGCTTCTCTCCTTTTCCAAAAGCAGCCCGCATGTGATTAACCTTTAATTCATCCTGTAGTAATACAGGATAAGAGGAGACAGCTTTTCTTAAGATTCATAATTATTCTTTTGCACAACGTCAAGATTAAAAAAAAGACCATCAGCACTATGGAGGATACTGCCCATATTTTCCCCTATCTAAGGCTCCTGAAGTGCAAGTTAGGAATTGATTTCTAGCCCTTTTTTAGCTGACAAAGTGAGACAAAAGCTCCAGATGGTGGGTGAGATTTTAGATAGCAATGTTGCTTGCTGGAACTGCCTAAGTCCCTTTTTTTTGATATAGAAAGAGCCTAGAGTCACTATGTTGAGTACCTGTATTAGGTAGAATAAGATTGTGTGTTTATAACCACCTTGGAGCATTTGAGCCCGGAAGCACTATTGCTTCCTCCAGCCACTTTCCTTGAAAGCCTGGAATCTGTCCTTCCAGAAGAGAGACTGGGAGCAGATTGCCTGAGCTGGTCTTGGGGACCAGCCAAGCATGGAGCCCCCTGAAGAAAGCAGAGATGAGGGAGGGAAATCGAGGAAAGATTGGCAGAGATGATCAGTTGCCTCCTGCAATGCGCCTGAAGAAAGCAGCGCTGTCCCAAGTTGCTCTTTTCACACACATCGTGCTCGGAGGCCACCAGCAACAAGGGGACGGTGCCAGGGGTACCCTCAGGGATCAGCTGGGCCTGTGTGAGGAGGACCCCTTAGTGCAGGTTTTAGGACAGGCATTTCTACCCTTTTGAGTATCCCAGAGCAGTCCCAGTTCCCCAGAGGAAAATTTGAGGAATCTCTGGAAATAAATCACCATGAAGATTTGCCTTCCAGATGCCAGCTAAACATCTATAGAAAGCCTTTCTAGATTCTAGATGGTCTACATTTCCATCTGGATTTTTGCCTTTTTTCAGCCTGACACCTGTGGGGGACATGATTTTAGTATATGGTCATTTTAGATCTTCTGCAACAGTGAGTCCCTTGTCTGCTGCTGTGGTTTTAAAGCTCCTTCACAAGTTGATTCTTCTTTTTTTTTTCAGGTTAGAAGCCTTTGAAACATTCCTTTCAGTTTCCAGAGCTCTGCTGTGTGCTCACTGTTCAGCCTCTTTGTGTTGAGAAGTCAATGGAGCTGTGGGTGGGTGGAAGATGGAAAACTGAGAGAAATGTAGTCCAGGGATTAGCTGTGTGGGCTGCTCAGTTGGAAACCATGTATCACATCATGAGAAATCTGTAAGGCTTGGGCAGAAATTAGTACAGTGTGTGATGAATTCATAAAAGTGGAAGTGTGGGTTCTTCCGACCAAGTGTCCTCCTCCCCATCAATGGTGTGAGATTGACACCCCTTGCAGCTGAAATTTTCCATCTGCCCATGGAACAGCTCTAGCTCTTGAAAGACAAGAACAAACCTTCCTCCCATTGCTTTGCCCAAATGACTGTCCTTCCAACTCGGAAGGCGATGGGAGGAAAATAGGAACTCCTCATCCTCTTTGCTCTGCTGAGTTTGCTATCTAAGACAGCAGCAAGGACCTCTGTAGTTGGTGCTTTGATGCTCGAATGCCCTAACAGCCAAAATTACATGACTGGGACAAACAAGAAGAAAGGAAGGATGTAGCACAGCTGGAAGGCAACTCAAAGCAGCTTGTTCTTTATTTTTAGCTTGAAGAGCTTTTCCCAGCCCTTGCGTGTGCTTCTATACATATCTTGAAAAGCCTTCATGCTTTCAATTCTAACTTGACATCAGTGGTATCTGCACAGGTCTAGTGGCATGATTTTGGTGGGATGGTGGAGAGAAGAAATATCAACAATGCAGAGGGCATTCTGAAACACTACAACAGGTAGCATTTAATGGGTTGATGCAATATTAAAAATTATCCTCTAGGAGGTGTTTTCTTGAAATTAGGTGCAAATGCTGATGAGAGATATACATCAAAGGACAGCATCAGATTTCCTGAAAAACAGATAAATCACAAGTCTTCCAGACAATTGATGTGATATCACTTGGCAATTTAAAGGTGAAGAAATGCATTTTCTTCCTGCTCTGATTTATACAGAAAAGTATCTGAACTTTGGAGGTCGGATTTTGAGACTCTCAGATTCTTCTATGAGCCCTCCATAAAGTGAAGGATTAAGAATAAATATGTACAACACTCCACTTCAAATGTTTCTTGCATCTTTATGCTCTGAACATCATATAATGATACCAAGATGTTGTGGGAGCAGTGCAGAAACATTAATGTTGTGGCTCGGAGCCAGGATGCATTGTGTTTTGGCAGTAACGTTATTGCATTTCCATCCATCTATAAAGTAAGCAGGTGTATTTTAAGTAGAAAATAGATGAAAAAATGTTGCAGTTGGATTTCTTTTCCTTCCACAATGGAAGTTACATGGTTAAGTGCTTTACACTGACTCGAGGAAGATCTGAATGCAATGCTTGTTGCGAGCACTTGGAACTGAAACAGGCTTCCCCCCAACACAGCCAGGAATATATAAATGCATCTTCCTCTCCCTCCTTGGATGCTTGTCCTGTATTGCTTGAAGCAATCTATAAGGCTCTATTCATGCTTTCTCTTCATCCGTAAGTTTTTATTACTGATTGCAGCAGTAACCTGGAGCATGACCAACTACAGTGATTGCTGAGAGCCTGGGGAGCCCTCAGTATTCACTTTCCCTCTCGCTGTATTCTCTAGACAGAAAGAGAGGCAATAGCAAGACCTATTTCTTCTTTGTACTCAGCCTCCTGTGAGCTTGGAGCTGGCCCAGCGTAACAGAGTGTTGCAAATGAAATTCCTTCTTGTTGGCATATTCTGTTTCATTAGTTGGCAGCAGCAGGACTGTTTTTAAGCCTTAATCGTAGCTAAAATTGATGGGCTCTTACTCTTAGGAAGCTTAAAGCTGGCAAAAATAGATTACCAAGCAGAGAGCGTTATTGGAAAATCAGATCACTGTTTTTACTGACCAGATCTGCTTAAAGTCCAGAGTTTTCTGTGTTGTTATTCAAGTGGAAAAGAGGTATGCTGTTGCTCTCAGCTTTGTATTGAAGATAATGCCTTTAATTGCCCCTCTTCCCTGAACCTCCTGGTAAGAGCGGACCAACCTGCCTAGCCCCCAGTGCCTCACTGAGCTGCTTCTTGGCCAGGGATTTGTTATTTGCAGGAGAGAGAAAAACAATGTAATTGCTATTGAGTTTGGACAACCCCTCGGCTTTTATTTACTGCATCAATTGCAGCACCAGACAGACACTGTGAAATTCTTCCAGACTGAGATCACAGAAGCACTTGCTGCTTTTTTTTCCACAATGTTTTCCATCATTTTTAATGACAGCCATCCATACAAAATAGCTGTTACAGACTAATGAGGAAGCTGAAGTATCCAGAAGAGCTTCACTCCCCAGAAGAGCATCCTCCTCAACGCAGCTTTCTACATGGAGTTAACAGGAATTAGGAATAGGCAGAGCTGTGTGATTTTGCCTTTATCTGCTTGCAGGGACAGGCATTTACAAAAAAAATAAAAAACCCTAGTGGAGGAGCACTGATTATTCTTCAGTTTGCACTGCTCTCTGGTGGGATAGCTGAGGAAAAACAGTCCCTGTCAATGAATAGCAAGGATCTTCGCTGCCTTGCCTGCCTTGCCTCCTGTGGGGTCACAGTAATTGCTGGTGGGAAAGGTTGTTTGTTTAGTCTAGCTCCCTATGGAGGCATTAACCTTCCCGGGCTCCATTTCCAGACCTGCACTCTGTGCCCTTCTCCTTCTCCAAGGACCTGGCCCTCATCTGTTCCGCATCCAGGCGCAGAGCCGAGGGCAGCCGAGGGCACCCAGCCTCAGGGCTCTGCCTCTGCCTGCAGCAGCAAACCTGCAAACCAGAAGGTATTCCTGCCTGCTCACAGAGAGAGGCTGCGTGTGCCTCAGCCCTAGTCTGCATCTGGGTTTGAATAAATCCCCGGCTGCATCCCTGTACCTCCCTTTCGTGGATTTGCTGGAGAGCAGAGCAGGACTCCTGCATCTAGCTCATCCCAGGACCACTGAGATCATCTCCACCTGGAGGACAGGGGATTGTCTCAGAAGACCTGCATTATTCTTGAGGATTAAATACTTGTCCTGAAGACTCCTATGAGCATTTGTGAGGGGAAATTGTCTGGTCTGTACAGATAAACAGTGTTTACCTACTGGTATATGGTGCAATGGGTATATACCCTTTAACTTAGTCATTATTATATGAGGCAAAAATGAGGACAACCAGGATCCCACATATAAGAATTTGTTATGCCAATATCTCATATTTGCAACAGTGTATATTAAAAAGAAAAAGTCAGCATCTTTCTAGAAATCCAGAGTACTTTCCTTGGCACTTCAAAGTGCCTGTGAAGGAGATTGAGTGGGTGCTGACTCTCATTTTCCTGGAGTGTGCCAAGGAGTCAGTGGCTGAGGATGCGAGGGCTGGAGCTTTTGAGGCATCGCAAGAGGGTAGATGTAGTCGAAGCAGGGCGCTGTGCAAAGGCAGGGGCCCTGCTGCTCCTGCTTCTTGGGGAGCTCGGCACAGCGAGGCAGTCAGAGCCAAATCCGTGTCACTGAGCAGTTTGTGAGCAGGGAATTCAGAGTAGGAAGTGCCTGGCTTCTGTGCAGCCTCATATAAGAGCATCAGTTTCCGTGGGTTTGCACTCCTATAGCACCAACAGGGCAAGCAGGTTCCCTCCCATGCAGCTGAATTAACTCCGAGCTTTTTCTTCATAAGCCCATTCATTTTGTACTGCAGGCATTTTGCAGGAGGAGGAGGAGAATTTGATTCTGGGCTGCTTGCATTTTTTGTGATGACTTATGCTGTAAAATGTACGTAAAGTGAGCACTGCACCAAACGGCTGCACTGTGTGGCAAGGCAGTGCAGGAACAAAGGCCTGAAAAATTATCAGACTAAGGCAGATGCTGCAGGTAAAATGGCAGAGCTTCTATATAACCTGGTTACTTGCAAAACAACTCTCACCTTTCCCAACTGGAGTTTCCCCGTGCAGCCTGTTGTTTCAGTAGTCAATAACACTGTTAGCTGGCTACATTGCATAAATTATTCCCTACTGGTTTGGACTGTTGTCTGAATTTTCATGTAGGAAAATCTTTTGCATTTGCAGATCTTTTGCAGGAATAAAGAAACCTGAACTGAAAGTATCCCTGGAGCCCAATGTGAACTATTTCTTCTACCTGAGGGCTGTCAACGCATTTGGGGCAAGTGAACAGAGTGAAGCTGCTCTTATCTCGACTAAAGGTGGCTCATCTTCTTCTGCTATCAGAACAGGGGGATGGAGGGACAAAGCAGTCAGAGATGGCATTTTTCTAGTGAACTTTCAGCTGCAGGAGTAACCAAGCTTTTGAGATAAAAAGAAGCAGATTTGATGTGGGGCTACTTCATTTGAAATTGCTAAACTCTGTTGTTTGTGATAGAAAAAGGTTAAATATTCTTCAGGAATTGGAGTTTGTTTGAGTTTAATAAAACACATTGAAATTGAAGATTCCATGATTTAAAACAAAACAAATAAACAAACAAAAACTTCAGGGTTCAGGAATGAGGAACCAAGCAGAACATGTTTTAAAATATAATGACTTACTTAAACTTTAAGGTTTCCAGATAGGTAGTGTTAAATTACGTATGGTTCCAAATGTCTCAAAATTCAGATTTGCTCCTTTGAAAAAGCAATTGATTTAAAAGGATTCAGTCTTCTTTAATACAAAAGACGTCTGTATCACCTAATTAGTTTTCTAAATAATGCAACCTCTTATGATCCCTGGGCCTAGTTGCCAGAAGCCTGCCATCTCACGTGGGCACAACTTAAAACAGTCTTCCCATTCTCACCCAATTTCCTGTCACTCCTACCTGTCAGCAAGTACAGCTCTGTCCCACTGAAATGGTTTCATTTTGTGATTCATCTCAAGTTAAATATTGCCAGTGTCTCAGAGCTGCTTCTTTGTCTTCAATTGTGCCCCAGGAACTAGATTCCACCTCCTGCGTGACACGGCTCACCCTGCTTTGCAGCTCTCCTCCGACGGCACCGTCATGCACCTTCCCGAGGCAGCCTGGTTCACAGGGTGAGTAGCCACGTGCCAAGCATGGTTCTGCTGCTGGCTCACCATGAGGCCTCAACTTCTGCTTTTGTCTATGGGAACCTTTCACCCAGGGCTAGCTGATTTTTAGAAAAATACTCATTGTTTCAGTCATGCAACCCCAGGGTATTATCGGATAGACCCGCACGTTCAACATCACATCCCCTCAGTAATACCAGTCGCAGCGCTGATACCGGTGCTAGAAGGAGTTTGATGTTGCACTGAGAAACCTCCACAGAAGGTCAAAGGCAATAGACAAAGAGGAGGACAACTGAATTTATATCAGTTCATAGTCACTGTTTAATCCTTCCAGAAACTTTAGTTTTGAAGCAACTTTTTGTAGCTTGCAGGCTGGTCAGAATTGCAGGTTGGTTTTTGGATTGATAGTGGTTAGAAATAATTGGTCCTCTCCCTTTGCTCTCTCGTTTAGAGTATTGCTGGTAACATTTTCAAAAGCATTTGTGACTTCAGAGAACTCGGAAAGAGCTGAAGGGAGTATGTTAGACATTGCACCAGGCTAGCTCCACCCATTGCAAATATATATATTTTTTTATTTATTTTGGCATACTCTTTGACTACAAAGGTCACCGTGAACACAGTTGTGTCATATACATATGGCTTTTTAAAACAGAATGGGATATTAGTGGTTTAAGCACCTTTTTATTGCAGTTGAATGCATGTAAGAGCCACTGTCTCTGTTTACAACACCTGTCTTTTCCAACTTGAATGAGCCCCATAAAATGTAATCTGGAATTCTAATATCTAATTTGACTGCAGATTCACATTTCCCACCACCACATTTTGCTAGCTTCATCTGCTTTTGGGTCAAATTTCATAGTTTGCATTTCTCAATGTGAGTTCACCTCAGTATGAACATGCCCTGACTTTCAGGGAGAACTTTGAAATCTTTGATATAAAGCTGTAATTAGAAGAACAGAGTTTAATTCATTAGTAATTTTTGATGCTTCGGCATAATGTGCTTATAAGAAATATCACAATAATGTTGGTCAACCACCAGACTCACATTACTGTATTCCTTTCACAAATAGATTTCCTTCAGTTCTGGGTGAACTGCTGCCTGCTCGGGGCTGTCATTACTGGGAAACCGTTGTGTCTGCCTGCAGAAGCTACAGGATTGGAATTTGCTCTGAGGCTACATCACAGAGTGACGTCCTGGGGCTGAATGGTACTTCTTGGTTCATGCGCTGCTGTCCTGCACAAACCAGGTAACGGTGAATCAGTCTAGCTGCTTGGGAAGTTACTTGTCCTGCATGTGAACAGAGCTGGTGAGGTTCAAGAATCATGACAGAACAGAGGACTTATCTGCTTCATTTTTGCAAATTATAATAGCAAGAAAAATACAACTATAGAAGAGTTTTAGATACTCTGTGCTGCTTTAGTAAATTTTATAATGCACCTTAAAAGAATACAACAACCCAACATCAATCTCAAACAAGAGCTTTGAAGTAATGGCACATTTGCTCAGGTAGGAGGGTTATATACTGAGCAAAACCCTGTTGCCACATGGTACACTGCTGTATGTGCAGCCTGTTAATAGGTGGAAATTGAATGATAAGGAATTTCTGGTAAATGACAAAGGTGCTCACTGTTATTTGTTTTCCATTTCCTTGCAGTTTTCTTTACAGATTCCTTCACACCAGCATACTGAGCGATGTCCAGGTGACAGAACAGCCCGCCAGGATCGGCATCCTTTTGGATTATAGCGGCGGCAGACTGTTGTTCTTCGATGCAGAGAGAGGACTGGTGTTGTGCACCATCAGGCACAAATTTACGGATGCTGCTCATCCAGCCTTTGCTCTGGAGAAGGCTGGAGTACTCACCCTGCGCACGGGAATGGAGCTGCCCGAGTTTGTGAAGCACAGCTAATCCCGTGCTCCCAGCTAATCCTGTGCTCCCGGCTCTCGGCAGCACGCGCAGTCACGGGCAGGGAGGGAGGAGGGTGTCAGAGGGGGACGACTGCTTTTCACTAATGAGAACTACGTGCACAGCATCCCTGTGCACAGCGTCGGTAATTGTACTTAGTGCCCAGCCACATAATCACCCTGAGCCCGGAGACAAAACCAGCTCCTTTGGATGGAGTGTGCACCTCATGATATACACAGAAATACTTACGAGGAGGAAAAAGGTTGGTTAGATCTGATCTGAGAATTCATGGGCGGGAGGAAATGTACTTTCCCTGTGAAAAAAAATGACAGTACTAGCTGTCTTTTTAAGTTGATGATGAGCCTGTGTATGAAATAAATGCATCTCTCACTGCAATACATCACTTTTTTTTTTTTTTTGTCAGAAAATGCCAACGCTTCATCATTTGCCAGGAGAGTCAGAGCCCCTATCCAAGATGATGAGTTTGAAAAATGTCCAGAAATTTTTACAGTTGAAACATTCTGCAGGTGAATATATCTTCTCCTATTGTTCACCAACACTTTTCTTCAAATACCCAAATCAAGGAAAACTTGGAAATGTAGAAGACTTATTTTTGCAACATGAGTGAGTCCTGGGCTAGCCTCTTGCCTGGGACCATAGGGAACAGTCAAATTGTCATCTACCTTCTTGTGGATAGCTCTTTTTCCCTTGCTGCTTTTATCTTTGAACTTACAAGGGTGATGCTGCTGATGTCAGGTATATGGGTATTTTTCAGCTTCCACCCTGGTCTGTCACACCGTCGGTGCTAGCGTCAGGATCGTACAGACCGGTCACAGTGTTTCAGAACCACTAAAATAGCCAAGACTAACTGTGATTTGTGCCAGCAAAAGCAGGCTGTGCAGCCCCAGGACTGAGGCCACGTGTGTCCACAGTGCTGGGGATCACCCCTGAGCACTGGGGAAATGAGCCTGGCAGAGAACGGGCAGGGCTTTCTTGCTGTTCGCGCTCGCACAATTTGCACCGAAGGGGATTGCTCTGGGATTGCTCTGCCAGGCATCACGGAGCTCAGCTGCAGAGCTCTTCTCCCTGAGGTTAAGCAGATTTCCCCAGTCTAGTGGAGAGGGTTTGCTTCTGGTAGAGAACTTACAGGCCTTACCATGAGGGCTGCTCCTCTTTATGCTCAGAGGAGGTACCTGGTGCTGCTGTTTTATTGATGATCGGAACCACCTCACGATCTGTTTGTCAGTCTAGCCGGCTGAGCACCGAGCCCTGAAGGAGCCGCACTCTTCACTTGTCACAGCAGGATGGTGAAGGCAAGATAAGCAAGGCCCCTTGGCCTTTTTATTTTAAGCTAGAACTTCTTCTGACACATCAGCTAAAGTGCCACTTTCGGGTCTCTGTGGAGGACAGGGGGAGAAGGGCCCAACATTAATGGAGAGAAAAGAGGTAAGGGAACTTTCTGTTACCCCAAGTGCTGAGAAGAGGGCAGCAGGCTGGAAACTCGTGTGGGGAAGATGGTGCAAGGCTGCCCAGTGATGTCAGTGGTGCCTGTTCCTCAGGCTCCCTCAGCCAGGCAGCCCGGCTCACATGAGCTTCGGTGTCCGGGTAGCCTGTTCACAGCTTCCAATAAACAGGAAGGCTTCAGGGAGGCTTCATCGGGGCCGCCTCACCTTGGTTGCTGCTCGTGGGAGGGGTGCCCTAATGTGGACGTGATGCACTGCCAAGGTGACAGCTAGGGCACCAGCAACCAGGAACTATCTGGGTGACTTTAAGTCACTTATATCCAAGGTACTTAAGTGTTAGGAAATAGCTGTTTTAACATGAAGAGCTAAAGCCTCATCTATAGTAATGCGTTATTACAAAAGTGCTGCTGCAGTGTTTGAGCTAGGCAAAATGTTTTTCAGAAATTCACCCATTCTTAGAAAATACTTGAGTGTATTTTGAAGAACTGTCTGATGTCTGCTTGCCAATTTTTGTTTAAAAATGGGCTCTGAGCTTGGGCAGCATCAAAAAGTTTATTTGTTGTTTATGTGGAAGTTGGATTAACTGTTTACAATCAAGCAAAGCAGTCTAAATAGTGCCAATTTGAATGTCAAAATCTGGTCCGCATTAAGTATTGCTGAATGAAGACATGTCTAGAGAAACTATCCAAGTTTGGGCAGATGAGTCAAAATGTGCCTTAAGCAAAAAGCTTTATACGAGTCTTGGTGGTTTTGGTATAGGGAGAAAATTCTGCTAGTGAGAAGAACAGATCCTGAAGGCCACAATTAGGTTGTGAGGCCTTACAGGATGTGGTGCAAATTCTGCTGCCTTTGGAAATTCTGGAGGTGCATCTGCCATGATCTGTTATTGCCCTGATGACACCACGTGGCACCAAATTCCATCACAAAGCTTTGGAAGTACAGTGCAGTCAGATGGACCTTGCATTCAGATGAGTGGAGATTCTGAGCCTTGGTGTATTTATTTTTTTCTGGGTATTGTAGTTTGCAACTATACACTAGAAAAGAGAAAGGACAAAAATTACCCTCCTAGTATTGTATTTTATTGCATTTTTTTCTTGTGCTGGATGACTTCAGTGCTTGGAAATACATTAAAAACAGGGTGAACAATTTTTTAAACAAAAGATGTTCATTTGGCTGATAGCATTTGTATAAAGTCTTAGTTACTAAAAGGGTTGTATAATGTCTGTACATAGTCTGATCATTGTTCCAAGTTTAGATTACATGGGTAGATAATAGCTAGAGCTAGCTATATATAAAAAAAAAAGCTAGATACATAAAAGAAAAAAATAAGTATTTCAGGTTTCAGCAATGTTTAAAGGTGTGTCATTGTCCTGAAAATACAGAAATTTATGCCTAACATGGTAAGTGCTGATAATAAATATTTGAATTGATCTTAAACACATTGCATTAGAAGCAAAGATTTCTTTTCACTTCAGTGGGCTTTATATTAGGCTCGTAAACCCTTGTGCACTGAAAGAAGAATGCAGACTTAACTGTAGGAGAGAAACGTTAATTTCTACTGCCAAGGCAGTGTCGGACTGGAATACTGCTGGCATCAGTAGTATCGATCCACAAATATCCCTTCGTCTTTTTGCTCCATAAAGGGTGTAATGCTCCTGCTCAGCATCATACTGAGTCAGTGTGTCCTCATTCCACCAAGCATGAGAGGCACGTGCATAGAGGAGTGATAGCTTTGCTCTTCTACGAGCTCTTTTTATAAAGGAAAATTCACTAAAATTTATGTTTTTACTGAAGACGATCTAGTGATACCCTATTTTAGAAAGGAATGCATTAGAAATCCACCACCCCAACATATTATTGTAAAACTTAATGACATGTTTTCACTGAGCCTGTTGTGAGACAGCCACAGTAAAAATCCACATATGATATTGTCTGTGATATACGCATGAATTAGACTTTCTCACCAGCACTGTGGGGTTTTAAATAGGGGTATAAATATAAATTTAAGAATAACATGAAGTTATGATCTTTTTGAGCTGCCCTAATTTTGGAACAAGAAATAGGACTTCTGCTGTGTTAAGACTTAATTTGCATGTGAAAAACTATGATCTGTAGTGGAATCACTACTGCATTTCTGTCCCTTTTGATGAAGGAATGACTAGCTCTCATGAAGATAAATATCCTCAGATTGTTACATAAGCAGCAAGAAGAGGGGGTGTCTCTCCGCTCCCAGCAACATGCTGTGAAGCGGGGGTGAACTAGAAAATATTTTCATTTTTCATGTTGTGTACATTTTCCTGTGCCTTGGAAGGTGGCGTTTGTTGCTTAGGGACCACTCCTCCATGCAATTCCTACAGAAACACAACCCGGAAAAGGAAAAGGAGCAAATTTCTACCCCAGATGCCACAGCGATTTTGCCAGCAGCTGAAAAATGTGTAAGTTGATGTGCTTTCCTAGAAAACATCTGTGCAGAAAATTTACACTTGCCTTTTCAGGACCTGAGGTAGAGACGCACTATTTGTAAGTGTGCTCTTGTCAACCCTGAGGAAACAGCATTGCAAGCAGAGAAAGCAGCAGCCTTTGGCTTATCCCATGTTGTTCCTCTAGGATTTGGTTGGACTCTATGACCAGTAGTGCTTAGGAAGAACCATTTAACAGTTTTTGATGTACAAAGTCAGGACTTTTTCTTTCCTTTCAAAGCAACCAATTTGTATTCAAAAAATCTGTTAAGGAATATTCTGTGGTTCAGTTAATATCAGCATTGCATAGGAACAGATACTAATATATCTGTTATTAATATATCTTCCCAGGTACAGAAAAGGTATTAACTCTCTAGAGTATAAAAGCACATTCTGGAGGTTAAACCAGGGCATTTCTGCAAGTCAAAAAAAAAAAAAGAAAATGCCTGTCATATCACTGAGCAGGAGCTCAAATTAGCCTTTTTAGCTCTAGGCCCTATACCCCTGCGAAACATATCTCCCACAGAAAAGTATGATGCGTTCTGTGATTGCAATGCAGCAAGAACTAGCTTTGCACTGCAGTTATCTTTGCCTGTGTTCAGGAAGTTCAGCAGTGTTGCTGGGCTTACACGACCCTCATCCAGTCAAGTAAAGAGAAATAATCAGATGCTCCCTCCGCGTGAGATTCCCTGGGCATTGGTGCAGCCGTGGTAGGAAATTCCACATGCCAAAACCTGGCATGTTAATTCCTTTCCCAAAGCTATTGAACCTTAGAAACCCCCAAGAAAGGAGCACAGCAGTTAGGCTCCAACTGAACAAAACCTCTGCTGGAAATAATGTGCATGTTGGAAAGGCCTCATTTGGGCCTTCATCATGTCTGGAGCACATCTTCTGCTGGGGTTACAGGGCAAAGGCAAAGAGATTTAAACTCCATTGGTGTTGCTTAAAAACTACTGGCTGAGAACTTAAACTCTGCCCCTTAAAGACCACATTTAGGTCTCCAGGCAAAAAAAGGAAGGCCTCATTCCCTATTTTTATCCCCCTCTGTGTGAGGCCCACAGAAAGGCACTGTGGCCACTTGCCCG